CTAAGTGCTCTACATATATATATATATAATCACTAGTGTTTGCCTAAGGGTCAAAATTAGACCATAATCATAATCGATAGGAATTATATTTACTTATCTATATAAAAAAAATATGTTTCTATTTTTTTATGACTCAGTTGACAAAAGGAGGAGAAAAAAGTCCTGAACTGCCTGTGCCTATTTATATATAGATTATTATTCATTCAATCAAAAATTACACAATATCATACCTATATAACCGGATATATTATTTTGTTTTTGAGTTATAAATACTTACTTTTTATATTTCCTTTAAATATTTCCCAAGCATTCTGAAGAATTAAACGACTGACACCAAAACGTCGCATTAATTACATTCGCTTTTAAGTCCTCCTTCCTTACTCTAATTATTAAATTATTAGTAAAATATTTGTTATTCATAATATAAACGTTCTAAAATTTTACGTGGAAAATGAAATCTTAAATTTATAATAAAATTTTATTATACGAAATCGTTAATTTTACATTATTAAGTATTAAAATTATTATTCTTTGAACCACTTAGACAAAATTATTTAGTTTTTGTATTCTTATAGATACTTCAGTGAAAATCGCGTTTAGGGCTCCGTATACAAAGAGCCTAGACGAAATCCCATTACTTAACCTCCACTGTCCTTCAGCCCGTCTTTAAGAACTGTATCTTTTGAATCGTTAGAGGTAGCCGATGACATTTTAACATAATATATGTTTTTACGGTGGATTTTATCACAAATAATAAAATTGTACTACATATAAGTACCGGTGTGTATATAGTAGGTACGTAATTTACACTAATATTATAAAGATTTGTATTTTTATATGTTTAAATGTAACGAATAAACTCAAAAAGTACTGGAGCAATTTAGATGAAATTTGGTATTTGGAAGAAGATAGTTTGAGACCCTGGGAAGAACATAGGATATTTTTTATTCCGGAAATCATTCTTTAATAATTCCTAAGGGGGGGGGGGGAAACGACCTAAGGACGTACCCAAGCGAAGCGAGGGTTGAAAGAGGGTAACAACAAATTATATAATAGTCGGTCTCTACCGTCGGTTGATTCTTGTAAATTGTGAATGCGAATTAATATGTTTAGTACTCATAATAATAACGTCTACGATTATTCACATTATTATTCTCCTCCGATCCTGTAAGATCAGAAGGGGGTATCTAATGTATGTCGACAAATTTTATAGCCAAGTATACAAATACATCTTCGAAGGTCTAAGTATAATCGATTAGAATCGTGCGATAGAGTAAGTTTAAGTACTATAACCACATTACATAAGATTGAACAGGTTGTAAATAAAAGTGTGATTATAGTACAAAAAATTATGAATCATTGAATAACAGAATTTCCGATAGATACGAGATTTTTAATTATTTCATAAAATAATTTCCTCAATTATATATTAGACATAAATAAAAGAATATGTAATATATAAAATATGATACACTTTAATTAGTAGATATGTAGAATTTTAAATATATATTATATACTTATAAATTTATTATTATGAGTTTTGGGATACTTTGATAGTTTTAAAGTACCTTGAACCTTCTGATATACCCGATTCCAACCTACTCTTAGTCTAATAGATATGATTATTCATAAAGGCTGTTTTAAGCTTTGCTTTAGATGGCAGAGGGTTTGATAATGAGAACTAAAGTATACTATTTAAGTCAATAAATTTTTGAATCTATATATTGCTTCAAATTTTTATAAGCGGCTTCAAAAAAGAGCTTTTTTCTTTTTATTTCACCTTATGTTCGTTATATCTGAGGATGAGAGAAGAATATGATTTTGATGTAATTTAATAATTAAATATTTTTAAATCATAAACATCCGACGGAAAGCCTCTGAAGCTAAACTATTATTTGAAACTTGTCGTAATTTATTGTTTTATATCAATAAAGCAAAATTACACAAAAATATTATTTCAGAAGACTTTTTGTGCCGAAAAAATAAAATCTATTCGATATCTGATTTATAAAATTAGAAAGAAAATATTGTTGCATAGTTGCAGATATGGTACTTTTGTAACAAAATTAGTATTAGTACGCCTGAGGTAAGATTGTAGTAAAATTATTTTCAACGTATAATAAGCACGATTAAAGGGACATTATATTGAGGTGGAAAGATATCGATTTTTTTTCAGAAAGAATTCGTTTTTACAAGAACAATTTTAAAAGTTCAGTTATTTTACATTTTGTATAAAAAATCAATGGCAAAATACGACAAAGTAAAAAGTACAGTTAAAAACTTTTATTATTGCAATTTCTACAACTTGTAGAGAAATATTAGACCTGTGATAGGGCGTCACTGTGCGTGCATCGCGTGTGTACTTTAGCAAATTATAATATGACTCTCTCTGCCTTTGCTGAACTCTGCTCTTAGAGTCTAGGTTGCAAGATGACTCATATAATCTATACATACATATAATAAAATTGTAACTAAGTCGAAACTGTACATTAAATATTTTTTGGAAAATCTTATTGAAATAGAATTTATTATCAATACAGAGGCCGAATTTAAGTTTTTAGAATTTTTGTCTGTCTGTCTGTCAGTCCGACCGTCCGTCCGTCTGTCCGTCCGTCCGTCCGTCCGTCAGTCAGTCTGTCTGTCTGTCTGTCTGTCTGTCTGTCTGTCTATCTGTCTGTTACCGCATCACGGAAAAACCACTGGAGGGATTTTAATGAAATTTGGTATAGTGATAGCTGGTCTTCCGGGTCAACATATAGTATACTTTTTACCGCGGTAAAATATCTCATTTCTGAGAAAAATTACAAAAACTGCAATGTAAGAGTACTTATACTAATATGTAAAACCTAAGAATTTGGTTTTTGCTCATCTGAACGCGGGCGAAGCCGCGGGCAATGCTAATCACTCATAAACTCATATGTAATGTGAAATTTGACACAGTTAAAATTTATATGGAGATATAGTGTAGAAAGATAATATTTTTATATAAAATATATTAGAAATACATTAAATAATTTAAAATAAACATTTTCTTTGTGAACCGATCTGTTTATTTTTTTGTTTTAGTTTAATAGCTATTGACGAGCTTTTGATTTTTTTTTAAAATCAATAATAATCATGTCCGAAGTTCGACCACTCGTCGAACTCTACTATTTATAAAATTTTTATTGTAATATGTAAACTATAGTTTAATTAAATTGAAATTCGTGTAAGCAGGTAGCTGTATTTGCTAACTTGTGAACAGATTTGTTAAGCATAAATCTTTTGAAAAAGTAAGTTTAAAGCGTTTAAAAATTTAGGATAAATTCTTAGGATATCTATCTGGAAATGGACTCCGTTTGATCTCAACATTTACAAAGCTGCGGTTTTCTGAGTAAAATGTAAATCTTTTAAATAGAATTTAAATTAAAATATTAATATAGGGAAAGTTCTGTTAGTTCAATAACGTTTCATTTACGACAGTTATTAAGAGGATCGATTATTCTGGATAAATGAATATATATTAGATCATTTTTCTAAATGAGAAGTCGACATTGTACAAGATTTATATTAATTTTAATTTAAATATGTATTAGTATAATTTATAGATCTATATTATATACATAGAGATATATATGTAGTATTTCTAAGTATTAGGTTGTATTGTGGTATGTATTGTATATAATATTTAATATTTACACCACCCACCCTGTATAGTCTTCCATATTTCCTAACCCAAAGGTTGTCTGGAAGAAATCGCTAATTAGCGATAAGACCGCCTTTTGTGCACACTTTTGTTTCTGTTTCTTTTTTTATATTGTGTTTACTTGTATTTACTTTATGATTGTGGTGTACAATAAAGTATAAATAAATAATGAATATATACCTGTATTGATACAAAATTTACGGCTGCCGGCGGAGTAATAGTTATAATTTTATTCGTTGGGTTTTTAAGTTTTTAGTAGGCAATTAAAAGTATTATCAGTTAGCTTAGCCTTTAAACAATCAAGTTTATAAAAACAAATAATATAAAATTATTAAGCAGGTTTTCGAACAAGCTGATGTTCTCAAATAACCCACTCATTTATTACAGCACCATTTAACGTGTAATAAATAAATTGATATTAAAAATTACCTTTTCATATATGTAAACTGGAATCATACATACATAATTATGTTTGTTAAACTAGTCATGATTTTGTAACTCTATGGCTAAAATTTTAATTAAAAAAAATGATTTATTACATGAAATTTATTTATAATATGTATGTATTTAAAGTTATATTATATGTGTAGTGTATCAACTATCTGGTATCGATAACACAAGCCTCGTAGCTTACCATGGAACTAGATGGTACTGTGTGTTAATGTTCCAACATATTTATTTATTTATTTATTTAAAAGAACAAATTTAGATAAGGCTATCTTTTAGGATTTTTAGTGGATTTATGTTTATTTTTAGTTCCCGGCGTTTCGAATGCTTTATAGTAATGTTTTATTAAAATTTTCAAATATTCGCATAAATCGAAAAAACCATTAAAAGTCATACGAATAAATACGAGTATATTTGATAATATTTAAACATTATAACTTAATATTTTATTAACTATGACTTTCATTTCTACTAATGAAAAATTATAATTAATGAAAAATATTTCATAAAAACATTAACAAGGAATCCGTAAGGCGAGACATTCCATTAATTTACATCAGCTCTCACCATTTTAGTCTAAACTAATAAGAAACTTGATATTCTTTAAAAAAATAAGCGAACTCGACGTTTGACAAGGGTTCTTTTATTATGAATGCTTTGCGTACACTAGCGAGTACTGAAATCAATTAATATAAACTTAAATTTAATTTTTCTCACGCACTGCACTTATTTAACAAATGATAGATGATTTTTTTTTTAATTTAATTAAATAAGTATCGTATGTATACATACAGTATGTATAGCATACAGTAAATAAGAATTAAAAAGTTACCGCATATGATGAAAAATAGGAATAAATCTTACTCACCAAATATAGAGCACGATGTAACTAGCACGGTATAAGTTTTGTGTCATGATATTTGAAAGGGTCATAGTTTTTAGCAATTTTAGTTGTATTTAAAGCAAGTTTCAAGTTTTGCCCGATCGGTGGCGTCGATGTAGCCGGTGTTGGTGGTTCACGCGCTCGCGATCTGCCGCGGCTCTACTTGAGGCCCGCTCGCACGCATGCGCCCGTCCTGCCTCATCCGAAGGCTGCCAACCAATCGCTTTAAACAACAACTTTGTTCGTCACCAGCAAGTACCTCTATCAGTAAAAGTTTAAATAGCTTTTATTGTGCATGTGCACAACTGTCTCTGTGAGGATTTCTATTATGTTTTCGGCGTAAAGCTTATTGTAGCAAAACAAATGTTCAAAATGACTTTTGAACATTGGATATTGGTTGTGGCTTCATTTTATTTAGCTTATCATAATCTTTTTTTACTAAGTATTTCCTTATTCTATCGATGATTATTCAACCCCAATTACTTGAAAGAAGAAAAAATAACTACCTATCTCAAACAATTAGTTTAATTTAAAAATAATTTAGTTATTTTTAATAATAGAGTAGCGTAGGTCCGTGATGATCGTCGCACCCAAGTTTGATGAACAATATGATTATTGATTACGAAGACCTAATAAATATTCTTGAAGCTAAAAAATAGCTATTTTTCGATCCGATATGATATTTTCAGATCACCCATTTCAGATATTCTAAATGTAAATATAGTAAATGATACGTTTGGTGCAAATAAGCTGTAAAAAGTATTCTAAATTATATTCAAAGATAGTTTCTTTACAAAAATATATAATATTTCATAGCAATAAAGAGCTTTTCTACCATATTTATAATTCCTTTTCGTTACTGGTCTGTTCTATTTATCTTGCGCAATATTTCGCAACCTCAATAATGTTACGTACCTACATAGTTAACGATTGTCGTTCTAAAAGGACTTTGAGTGAAAACACTCGCAAACGTAAACGGGCACAATATCTCAAGTAGGCATTTCACTTTTGCGAGACATGTAAGCTTATAACGATGTTTACACCATTTCGAAGTATATATCGTATTTTTCGTATATATATATATATAAATCTATAATATATATATATATATATATTAATTGAAGATGGGCTCACTTTTGACCTTCATTTTAGCTTGAAGGCATAGATAAGGTCTAAGATATAGCGAGTTTGCCCAGGAGAAGCCTGTTGACACGCACCTTAAAAAGTTTCAGGTTGTACGCTTTCGGAAAAACAGACGCAGGCAGGGCATTCCATTTCTTGGCTGTGCGCATTAAAAAGGATGATGAAAAGCGCTTAGTGGGAGTAGTCGGAATGTCAACCAAGAAGGATGGTATCCTGCAGTACGTCTGGTGTTCTGATAGAAGAATGGCGTTGGCGGTATGAGACTGTGGAACTCGTGGGCATATCGTCTTTTTCGTAGATTTTAAATTAAGGAAATCTTAAGTTGTATGTGTGTTGTATCTGGTATAATACAGTGTAGTATCTCGTACGATACACACAGACTACACTGTGTAGTGACATCTCACATCTATGCTGATAGCAACAAATATAGTCTAAATGTTGCATCATTAGAATTTCTTTATTACTCGATTAAATTCCTTCATTGAGTTTTTGATTCAAAAACATGTTGTATACTTGCTATAAAAGCCAAGAAACGCACAGGGAGGTGGCCTTCTTCGGAGGGCGGTGTACCATGCGGGTTGCTCCTGGTACTTCTCTGATAGCAGAGTGGACCTTGGAGCAACCCCGTGGTTGTTGTGGTCAGCTTCGGCAGACCTGCCGTCGGGGCGTCGTAGTTGAATGCGTAAGCGATCCTGCGACGCCCCATTAAGACGGGGGAAGGTTTTGTTGGGTTTTAGTGGGTAGTACTGGCTTTGCCGGTGAGTCCCACACCTCGTGCGTAAATGCATTTCCCAACGTTAAAAAAAAGGTATATCTTCGGCTGCATAATACTATATTATTATGTTCCTTCGTCAACTTGCTCTCATCTTTTATTTCGCTTTTTACGCGGTCGGGTTCTCTTACTGTGTGTATTTGTTATAAATATAATGTAAATAATATTTGGAAGATTAGTTAAAAAAAGGTTTAACATTCACACCTATTTCTTCAACTCTGTCTATTCACGCGTCGATGGCGCACTGGATGGGTATCTGGCGAATTGCTATTCGTAAAGCGATAAGATCGTTTTATTCAACCTATTGGTTTGGAAAGAATATAATATGAAATGAATTGAAGATATGAAAAAACCCCTATTTTTCCAGCATATTGCCTATTCCAATGTAATTTTGGCGTTTCTATGTGACTTTACAAATTGTTTTTACATTACTTGAATGTTTTAAATTCAAATTTTCATTATAATTCTGGTACTTAATATTATTGTGTCAAACAACTTGTTTGCTTGCAATGGCAATAGTTTATATATATATATATATATATATATATATATATATATATATATATATATGTATATATATATATATATATATATATATATATTTTAAAGGTTCCTTTTAGTGTAACGAACCGTGATAGAATTGAAAATTTCTGCTAGCTCGATAAAGGGTTTATGCTTATATATCTGCTATATAAAAAAATGCTATTAGAAATGTACATATAGGCTGAGTTCGATATGAACATTTATCGAAATGCATCGCGCCGTGTCTAATCTGCGAGCGGACGCGTGGTGCCGCCTCGCAAATAACTTCCGCACCTGCCGAGTGCACTCCGCATTGTATCACATTCCGACAACGTGCATTCAGTTTATGTATGTATATACCCCAAGTTTGTTACGTAGCTGTGATGGAAGCCATTTAAGCAGCACGTCCTCCTTCCTCAAAGTTAGATGACGAGAAGCTAGATACTTCGTTTTCTCTGAAGTCTTTGAGGTAAGAGGCTGCCGCTTCAATATACTTGAATGACATTCTCTTTTAAGAAATTATATATTAAATAAAAGAAATTGTAACGAAATATTTGAAGAATATTGAAAATTACTTTATATGTCACTTTAATATTATAGTTTTAACTTATACCTTTTTTAGAAATTTAATTATAATAAAATTAATCTAAAAAATATAATTATAATATCATATAATATACCACAGAATATAGAAACGCATTTATTATAATTTCTTTTTTTATATCAATGTATAATAGAACAGTCAATTTTAAGTCGATATCTCCTAACATTAATATTTAGCATTCTAGTAGTGTCTTATAATAATTATTTTGGTTTAATATAAATATAATTAAGATTTGATAACACCTGACCTATATATAATACCTACATACGATTATAATTTATAAAAAAATAATAATTAAGATAATTAAATCATACGAATTAGAAGTTCAATGAAAAAAAAAACAAAATAATAAAAAAATATTATTAATTAAAATTAATTTTTACAATTCAAAATAAATTACAATATTATTTAGCAATGACTTTAATATACTATGTTTATTTATGTATGTTAGAAATTAGAATGTTGCTTAAGATTGTTCATTAATTATATGTGTGAAAAAGTCTTTATTTATACCAAGTTAAAAGGAATAGAAAAATCTCCTCAGAAAGTATGTGAGTTAAAGTTGTAATGTCCATTGTGGTGGCGCGGCGCACGCGCGACGGCACTCCGCGCGTCGCTGCCACCGCGGCCGATCGCGACCGCGATAACTTGCAGTGCGTCTCGCAACGCAACTTCTATCCCGGTAATGATACTTGGCCGAAAAGTTTAAAAAAGTTTTAAAGTTAGTATGTGGCGCTATAAGAACATAATCTGGGCAGATGTCTGGTGTCGGTGATCACGTGATGTGGCGACAGTCGCGCGCTGCAGCCGCGCGATGAGCGCGCGCACGTCGCCCGCGCGTCCAGCCCTGCACGCGCGCTACGTAGCGCCTATGCTCATGCTACCCCTTGTCCTTTCTTTAGTGCAAGCACAGTAAGTAAAACGTAGCAAAAGTAAAACTTTAAGTTATTGGTCTACAAAATATAATAGTAATATATTATGTACAACATTTGTCCACTTTTCAAATATCATATATATATCTAACTTATTCTTCCTTAATATTAATATCAAAATGTTTTTATGTACATATATAAGTTTTAATATCTAGAAAATACTTAGGTAGATAAATGACTGAAAATAGTTTTTTTTTTAAATATTTAGTTTTAATAAAACCATTATAAATACGAAATTAAGAAAATATCAGTGCGCTTAACGCAATCTTGTAAAGTTTTCGGAAAGCACTGGTCTATCTTCCGTCGGCCGACGGATCTGTTTTTATAACTTTCAATTTTTTAATATTATGATATTACTTTAAATACTAAAAAAACGACTTCCAGGCACTAAAATGTAAAAAATAGCTAAACGGAAATTTTCATTTAGAATAGATACCTAATTAGATATTTTCGAAGTAGGTGCCAGCCGATGTAAAACAAATCTATTTCGATACGTATAAAATACATCACAAATTGATGTATAATACATATTTTGACTATAATTAGAAATCATACCCTATCATATTTACCTATTAGTTATTCATATCTTAAAATATTGTCGGCTGGCACGGTTTTTGGTCATTGTTAATAATTTAACATTATATTAGATTTTTAGTACTGTAATATCTTATTTTCTTCCTATTAGAGGCAAGCAAATAAATTAAGCACACTATGTATTACTTAAACGTAATAGGTTTTCAGCCGACACCTTAAGTTAATTTCACATTGGATTTGGGGGATCCACTCGCTAAATGGCAATTCTATCTAAGCCAGAAGGAATCTCATTTAAATAGCCCTTCGATATATACATTTTATGTATACAAAGCTGTAATTTGACCAAAATTTACAAGCCTGTATAATGAATGTTAAAATTAGGAATATTAAACTCTTGTTGAAATAAAAAAAATGTTAAAAATGGCTGTAATTCATTATTTTTCTGAATTGTTTTGGTGTTTGTTATGTGAGTAAATATTATTAGCAAGGTTTGTCGAAAGTTTTCAATGGTAACTGAAGGGATATCATGTAATTCATGATAATAAGTAGGTATCTGAGAAACCACTACAAACTAATTTATTATTATCTACTGAGTTCTTTAGTAGTAGTCATAAAAAAACTGCAATGTATTTTATTAGTCAGTCATTTCTGTAACTCTAACTAAATTTAGAATTTAGTCACCACGGTATCAGTTTTAATTTATCAGTTTTCATTTATTACTTAGGAAAACTAATAAATAATTGTTTCATATATATTTGTAATTCAAATATTTTTTAAAATTATATCCGTCAGCTATTAGATTATTTTTTAATGAAGGTTGTAGAAGAACCTAACAGATTAACTATAATGAAAAGCATATAAAGTGTTAATTTTTGTAAATTGACAATCCATCTTATAAAATATTACATTATGTGGATGTCAGATGGCATGACATATTTTTTATCGTCATACACGTAAAGTGATTTGTCTTGTTTGATTCGTCAACTCCCATTTCAATCCGCTAGGCCTGAAGGGTTAAACCTTTGAAAGTCTGAAAGTTTTCAAAATCCAACCCTATAAGGATTTGAACAAAAAATCAGTCAATAGATGTGTAAATTAAAAAAAAATCTGTGTGAAGTCGAGCTAAGTGAGTAGTTTAAAATAAACAATATTATTTCATTGCGGGCGATACTTAAAAACGCTTTTAAGGTACCATTCATCCGTTGAAAAAAATATGCTGTCCTTGCATCTGTCTCACGTCTGGGTCTGTAATAGCCTGATTTCTTCATCTTGAAAAATGTTTAGTGTCCATCTATTGATATATAAAATAAAACCTCAATATGAGGGGTACAAGAAATATCATTTGTTTGTATATGTTAATAGATACTTGTGTCACACATTACCAGGATAATGCTAGCGCAAGCCCTAAGTACCATGGTAATTATACGAATCTCGATTTGTTTACATGCTATCTACTCAGCAAGTAAGTATATATCTATATATATATATATATATATATATATATATATATATATAAATTATATTAATTGACTTTTACGACATTCGAAGAGGTTCGCTTTCAATCTAAAGAACCATTCAAAATAAATATATAAGTAGGTCTTAAGTTAGCTATAATTATGCAGTCCAGTGCAGTATAAAAATCTAAGCAGTCCAAATCGTGGTCAAGTAAATCAGACTTAAATTCTGAAATTGTTCTGGTGGTCCATAACACCATCTTTTAACACAATTTCATAAATATAAATCATTATCATTTAGCATATTATCTATACATACTCGTATAGTAAAATTGTAACTAAGCCGAATCTATACATTACATATTTTTTGGAATATCTTATGAAATAGACATTATTATCGATACAGATGCCGAATCTATAGTTTTTAGAATTTTTGTCTTTCTGTCTGTCTGTCTGTTACCGCATCACAGAAAACCACAGGAGGGATTTTGATGAAATTTGGTATGGTGATAGCTGGTAATCCGGGTCAACATATAGGATATTTTTTACCGCGGGGAAATCTCTTATTTCTGAGAAAAAAATCAAAAACTGCATTGTAAGAGTATACTCATATGTAAAACCTAAGAATTTGGTTTTTGGTCATCTGAACGCGGCCGAAGCCGCGGGCAATGCTAGTAATATATATTATGGTGATTTTATAGATTTCGACGAGCTCTTTCCGAATTTCTACTTTGCCACCTCGCAATCTTCTCCGCTCCCCCATCACCCATCTTTTCCGCTCGCACCGCCTTATTTGAAAAATGGCGCCTAAAAACAATTTTTTGACAATATCTCCTTTCTTACTTATATAGCTATAATAAAATACTTACATAATAAATTAAACTAAAGAAAATTTCCTATAATTTATGTAATAACCTTTTTTTTTGTAAAATGAATAGTTTTAGTACACTGCATTATGCACTCGTATAGTGCTGCAAATTCGACTCAACACGCGTTTTGGCCAAAAAACATTTTTTTACACCACCATGTTAGGTAGAGCAAGTTTTTTTATCATGCTATCTCTAATAGGCCTAATCCACACGCAATGCACAATTTAGCGTGATCTCCTTCGCTTGGTTATTCTCGATAGACCAGGTGTTGCAAGTTACAAAACTCCTGGAAAACTTTCTAGGTGACCACTTTTTAGAGTACCAAATGACTGGGCTAATAGCAATATTTGATTATATTATAGGTTAGATCGCGCCGTAGCAATTGACCGCTTGGAGAACGTTACGCACACCATCTCACGAATTCTTGAAGGCTACGACATACGACTTCGTCCTAACTTTGGTGGTAAGTATTTTTTAAAGTAAGTGAAACCCTTTGAAAATTCATAAGTTAAAAAAAGTGTGTGTGTACTTATGTATGCACGTAAGAAGTTATACTTCTTTGGAATAACAAAACAAAAATAACTCCAAAAATTTTATGCTGCGTGCCAATATAATATATTGGTAGAAACGACGATAAAATAATTACATAAGGATAATAAATACAATTGATAAAAAAGGTTTTATTGAAAAATAAATATATTTAATAAATGAGAATGGCTACCGACAAGGAAAAAGAACTTTAGCTACTTACATATATTCGAGTAGGGGAGAGTGTGTAACGTCATGAAACCAAAAGTAATAATAATTAAAAAGGTACGTCTAAAGTATGCCTTATACATCTTCAAGACGGTTGTCAATACATGACAATTAACAGACAAGAATAGTTAATCGTAAATTGCCGTGTGTAAGAGAGAAACAAAATATTTTCCAGAAAGATACTGAAATTACTACAAATATTTCGAATTTTCGAATACTATATCCCACCAAATACATTTTCATGTAAAATGTTGCCAAGACGAGGCCATATGGCTCGTACAAAAAGTTCTTAGATCTCATGTAGAGCCAAGCTTCTACCTCTACACGCCCTAACTTCACAAACTCTACACCTTGGTCAAAATATGTGGCTTGGCCGTATCGTTACTAAAAGAACTATTGCATGACAGGAAAGTAAAAAACAGTGAATAAATTTTTCATCTTACGCCCTTGTGACGGTAGCGAAAATTAATCTATACTAATATTATAAAAGAGGTAAAGTTTGTGAGTTTGTGAGTTTTTGACGTTGTAGGGGGGAATCTCTGGATCTACTGAACCGATTTAGATGAAATTTGGTAAGAAGATAGTTTGAGACCCTGGGAAGGACATATTAATACTATTTATCCCGGAAATCACCCCTTTAGGGGGTAAAAATGGAGATGAAAGTTTGTATTGGGAAGCAAGCTAGGGACGAACCCGAGCGAAGCGATGGTGAATCGCTAGTGAATAATAAAGCATACTCTTTTTTGTTACGTGACGATTTCTACCTCTCACTTTAACTCTTTTTTTTTTATTGTTGGGAAAAGCATTTCCGCATACCACTTATACTAAAGGGTGATTTAACGACTAACTTTATACTGTAGTCTAATTCTGTCGCATCGTAAACACTCTCATCATTTTTTTCCTAACGCCAAAAGAAGTATAACTTCAAAAATAAAACTTAATCAACAATAATATATCCACGTTTTATTACACGTTTTATTATTATAATTGTTTCTTATATTAAGGGTTTGTATCCATTTTGATATTACTAATTAAATAAATAAATAAAATTAAATCAAGAACATTACAATAAATTTACGTGAATATTCTTGACAAGTGCAACTGTTAGTAGCAGAGAGCAAGTTTGTGTTAAAAATAGTAAATCTTAAGTGAAACTGTTTTACACATTATGATATAATGATATAAATATAATATGTTAAACAGATGCTAATTGATTAAAATAAAGGTAGAATATGCTTATTTTCTTCAACGCCTAAAACAAATAGTAAACTACAGCTCTCAATTACCGACTACAGCAGAATGCTAACGAAATATTTATTCATAATAAGAACTAGGTCACGAATACTTGTCATATAAACAAGGCTTGTTCGCACAATATTTTAGTAATAGGTGACACCTCTTGTAAGTGCATTTCTGTGATGTAATACTTGCCTTCTTATAATCTTAATGAACTACGACCTAAGCAAGTTACGTATGTGGTGGAAATTCAACATTGCTACAAAATCTCTAATTTATACGTTATTAGTAATATGTTGGAAATGTATATTAAGTTTGTCGTGAGGCGTATACAAGTAGACTTAATATATTGAAATAAGTCACCCGGTGATTCGTCAGCGGTCCCTTATGCTCGCACTATATGATTTGCTTCCTTGCACAAATCTTATTACTCCGCAGGCGATCCGCTCTACGTCGGCATGGATTTAACCATCGCAAGTTTCGATGCCATTTCTGAAGTCAATATGGTAAGCATAAGTTTCCTTAAGTATTTCTTATATGTCTTTATGTAAATATGTAAAAAATTGTGGTAATTAATGTACACTTATATTATGTAAACTTTATGAGATTGAATATAGGAGGAATTCTCAAGAGTTACTGATGCCATTTGAAAAGTTCTTTCACAGAGATGAAGTTACATTACCCGTGGATGTCTACTGGCGATATTTTATTCTAATTAAATTGAGCTATTGGCAATAGTATAAGAAGTCCCAATAACGATTTCTCTAATTCATTTCGTTTAGATCTGAGCGTCGCGAGGACGTTATACGTAATATGTCAATGCGAAAAATAACTTGATTATCTTTGTGCCCACTTTTCACTTGACTTGCTCGTAGAGTAAATGTTTTCTTATAAGAAATAAAGAAGATGTATATAACTCACTTTATGTTTAAATCAGAAAGGTTTTAAGAAATTTCACTCCGTCTTTATTTTAATGTTGTTGACCTCGCAATTGAGTAAACAAAGAATCGATCTTCTTGAGTTTCGGAAGTACGTTAAATTTTTGACACGTCAACAATTTTACCATCAAGATTGCTTTTGAGTCAAAACAGGGACGCACTCGATCGCTCGTTGTAATTCATTAAGCTTTTAATAGCGAAAAGAGAGCAAGGCCGTGAACACTTGACACATATCTGTCGGTGACCGAGGGGCAGAGCTGTGTCATCGAATCGATGGCAACTTTAATCATTTATAGATTAATATTGTCTTCCTTTATTTGCATAAACAAATACAAAAACTTACGTTCACACACTACTCTTTCAGTTAGATCCATAAGTCAAAAATGTATACACTAAAGTAAACGTGTGCTTTCAGGATTATACAATAACACTTTATCTCAATCAGTATTGGAAAGATGAACGGTTAGGATTCGGTTTACCAGATGAAGTCTTAACTTTATCTGGAGATTTCGCAGATAAGATTTGGGTACCGGATACTTTTTTTGCCAATGATAAGAATAGGTGAGAAACATAAACCTACTATTTATTTACTAAAGTAAATATTTAACATTTATAATTATAATATATTGTACAAATTCTATGCATTTAGTTAGTTACACACTTAGTTCTCAATAAAAAAAGAAGTGTTTAAAAATTGCCACATTTTATGTCTTAGCAAACTCTAAAGACAGTAAAAAAGTTTAAGATTAGCAACAAAAATAATAATAAGCTATGCCACTTTCAGTTTTCTCCACGATGTGACGGAACGCAACAAGCTGGTGCGTCTCGCGGGCGACGGGAGCGTAACGTACGGGATGCGTTTCACCGCGACACTGGCCTGCATGATGGACCTCCACTATTACCCTCTGGACAGCCAGAACTGCACCGTCGAGATTGAAAGCTGTGTGACTCTATACTCTTAATCCAGCTCGCCATGGCTTGCTTTGCCCCATCGAGTGTTGTTATTTCATGTTTGAAAGCGTCACGTTGTTGTGGTTGAGCCGTAACATTCTTTGCTTTTGCTAAATATTGGCGAGAAGAAAACGTAAATTACATAAAAAAACTATTTAGACTCTTAAAATTAATGGAGTCGATGCTCTATTTTGCTAATTTCATTCTTGTACCATTTGTTATCAGACGCCTTGTGCTTGTCTGCTGTTTTCTATGTTTCTATAAGGGCGATAATTATTTGTAAATATATTAAATAACTAAACAGTGTTGTTGTTTTAAATAAATATGGCATTCTAACGTATTGCTTACGATGCAGATGGCTACACGGTGTCTGATGTGGTAATGTACTGGAAAGAAACACCGGTACGAGGCGTGGAGGATGCTGAGCTCCCACAGTTTTCTATTCTCGGTCATGAAACTAACGATAGAAAGGTTCGAAACAAATTATATTGATAAAAATAAAATGACGTTTTAATATTTAACCCCTTTTCATTAGAAAATATCAATAAATATGAAAAATAATTAAAGTATTAAATGTTAAAATAAAAACAATAATTTATTACTTGTAAAGAACAATTACTTTTGTAAGAAGATAAGGTTTGATACCAAATACCTGTAGCGCTGAAAGTTTCTTAATTTAGACAATTAATCCTGGTGTCACTGAAAACACACTTATTAAACACTTTACATTCTAGGAGAAGTTGGCGACAGGCGTCTATCAGCGGTTATCTCTGAGTTTCAAACTTCGCAGAAACATTGGATATTTCGTGTTTCAAACCTATCTGCCTAGTATTCTAATTGTGATGCTCTCTTGGGTTTCGTTTTGGATCAACCACGAGGCAACTTCAGCGAGAGTTGCTTTAGGTAAATGTGCATATTTTTATTTCACATATCGAATTAAAAATGATTTTTAGAACTTTTCAAAATATTTATCGTTAAAATATATGGTAATTTTTATATTCCTATTATATTGCTCAAAGGAATTAATAAAAAATAAAAAGAGTTTTTATTTCTTAATCATCTTTACAATTTTATGCTCGAGTCTTCCCAGTAAGTAATCCGAGGAGACTTGTGTTGGGAATGGCCCGAAACTATTTTGATTGCCGCCTTTTGATATATATTATATGTTATGCAAGTATGTATTATGGTACATATACATATATCACAATATCCTGCGTATGTTCGGAGGAGCTCCGAGACTTTGAATGCTGCTATTATTTTACATCTAATATATAAAAAATCTCGTCTCACGGTGTTTGTTGTCGCACACTTCCGAAACGGCTCGACCGATTTTAATGATTTTTTTTGTATATTTGGCAAGTATGAGAATAGGTCGTAAAGTATTTTTCATACTCCTAAGCCCCCCTCCCCGATTTTTTAATCGCGATTTTAATGTTTTTGGTATGAACAATATTATATAAATATATAGTTAGCACGCTGTATAATATAAAGCCAAAGGGTTTTGTAGTAGATTGAACGCTGGCGTAGCCGCGGGTTCTGCTAATAAAAATCAGATTTCAAATACTATAGATACTATTTAGCTTACTATAAATACTATGTAGCTTCATTAAACTCAAATATAATTTAATTTAAAATGTCTTTATTTTATTCTCAAAATTTTAAATTTTGAGTTTTAAACTTATATATTTTTAGGTATCACAACTGTTCTAACAATGACTACAATAAGTACTGGTGTAAGAAGCAGCTTACCGCGCATATCCTATGTGAAGGCGATTGACATCTACCTAGTGATGTGTTTTGTTTTCGTCTTTGCGGCGCTACTGGAATATGCCGCAGTAAATTACACGTACTGGGGCGCACGCGCAAGAAAACGAGCTAAGTTAAAAAATCGCGAACAAGTCTCTACAAGCACTAGTGTGGATAAGGAATTGAAATCTGGGAGTAAGTAGAAACCGGTAGATAAATACACAGTCACTAGACAAAATGATATGAACAGATTTTTGGCTATTATCCTAAAGGAATTTTCTTATTTTTCGTAATCTATACTAATATTATAAAGAGGTAAAGTTTGTGAGTTTGTGAGATTGTGAGTTTGTGACGTTGTAGGGAGTAATCTCTGGATCTACTGAACCGGTTTAGATGAAATTTGGTAAGAAGATAGTTTGAGACCCTGAAAAGGACATAGGATACCTTTTATCTCGGAAATCATCCCTTAAGTGGGTAAAAATGAAGATGAAAGTTTGTATTGGGAAGCAAGCTAGAGACGAACCGAGCAAAGCGAGGGTGAGTCGCTAGTAATTAATAAACCTATCCTAAGTGAGTGGTGCTTAGAAGAAGTAATAATACGTTTTACATTAAATATAATGTATGAGATTCATCAAAACGAATTGTTTTATATTTTCAAAAGTTTTACGCAAGTTAAGTAACCATTGATGAATTTCTTACTTTCTGACTCTATCATAAGACAATCTTAATTATATCAAACTATTGTATATTAATTCGTATTATATAGGCCTACAGAATGTCTATTCAATACAAGAATTAAAGGAATTAAGTAAGGTAGTTTATAAAGATATTTCAAAAAAATCTGGTATATATACAAAAGAACTATTTTTTCAGCCGTAAGTACTGCTGACATAGCCCAATCTAAAGTTCAAATTTTTGATGACGCGTTCGAATATTTGAGTGGTACTTGGTTAGTGACGCGATTGACGTTGGATTTTAATTCCTTAATTGTAGGGAAGAATCATTTTGATGTAAAGAAATGTTAAAGATACATTTTTAACTGTACCGGGTTGTCTTAAAAAATAAGAAATAATACTAAACAAAAACACCAACCCTACTGATATGGCTCAAGTGTCAATTATTTTAAATCTACTTGAAAAATCCTTATTGAAAAAAGTACTGAAAATAATAAAAGTCATTCTAGAATTAATCTATTAGATAATAGAATCTGTTAGTACATTTCAAACCTCAAATGAGGCTTATTATAACCATAGTGCAGAATGAAAAAAAAAAACTTTTAAGATTGTACAGTGTGTACACGTTTCCTTGTTTATCCAACTCTACTTAAATCTTTTTGAACGAGTTTTATTTATTAGCAGGTTCCCGATCTCCTGAAGAGATAATAGCTCTCCGAGAATTTACGACGAGTACTGGGCGCGTGTCTCCGTTGCCGAGTCTTCGGTCGAGGCCTCTGCCGCCCAGCACCGGGGCGCCGCCCTCGCTGCGCCTACAGAGGGACTACTCTAACCTGCGATATAGAACCCGGCCACATTCTAGAAATTCCAGGAGTAATTCTTTCAATTATTTATTTTACATTTAGGGCCTATGCACATGACGACTTTTTAAGGTGATGTCGATGTGCGCCTGTCATGTGTTTATATCTATACGAATGCAAGTAATCTGCATTTTTAAATGTATTAACACAGATGACGTATGTACGTCGTGTGTTCAACGTGGTGTGTATCGTACCCTAATAGTATAATACTAATTTATAATATAACTAACTAGGGACTCACCTTTGCTCCGCTTGGGTTCGTTCCTGGTTACGTTTGAACGTTTAGTATAGATTTCCTATATGTTGATCCGGATAACTAGCTATCATCATACTAAATTTCATCAAAATCTGCCCAGTGGTTTTTTCGAGACGCGGTCACAGACAGACAGACAGACAGATAAAAATTCTAAAAACTATAGATTCGTCTTCTGTATCGATAATAATGACTATTTCAATAAGATTTTCCAATAAATATTCAATGTATTCGATTCGGTTTGAATTTTATTATATGTATAGATTTTTTCCCAGATAGCCGTTTTCATCACCAATGTTCACAGAAATAAAATATAACGAAACTAAAACTATATTTAAATAAAAACACCTAATAATAATTATTGTACAAATCATGTCTGCGTGGAATTGTGCAAGAATGCTGCATTTGCCTGCTAAATACCAATGCAGATTCTTTCTGGCGAAAAACGATCACTTCCGGCCAGTCATTGGTAGAAGCCACAAACGAAGTGTTATGTATTTTAAAAAGCTTTAAATACCTTATATATATATATATATATATATATATATATATATATATATATATATATATATATATTATAGTTCTAAGTAAACTTATAATTTGACCATTCCAGACGGTGCTAAGCCGAAGGTGATCCACGCGCTCAAACGAGGTGCCACTGTGATCAAAGCCTCAATGCCGAAGATACGGGATGTTAATGTCATCGACACATACTCTCGAGTCATTTTTCCCATCTGTTTTCTTATATTTAATGCAATTTACTGGACATTCTACATTTTTGATTAAATATCTAAATAAATAATTTAAACGATTAATTAAATTATTCAAAATAAATCTTTGAACGAGATATACATTTAATGTATGAAAATTCATTTTATATATTAAGTAGAAAAATGTCCTAAATTTATTTATTTAAGATATATTTAAAAGGATTTTTTAATTTGTATTCTGTTTGAATTATTTGTAATATTTGCATTGTCGAAACAAATATTATTTACCTACTAATTTCATATTTTCAAATATTAGAAAATTAGTATAGAATGTTAAATTCTTTCATGTACATTTTAATTAAATTAATTGTGTCTTAAAATTAAACTAAGTAGCGTTCCTACGATTAGTAATATTCTCAATGTGCTGCCAGCCCTAATATTGATACTAAATACCTTTTACTAAATGACGTAAAAGATTTTAAAAATTATATATTAAATAGAAAAAAAATAATCAATTAATAATTTTTTTAAAAATAATTTTTTTTTTTTTAAATTAAATTGCAAAATCTCTATACGAATATCTACAGATATTCGTATAGAGATTTCGCAATGAATTAAACATATATAGCGATTATAATATTAAATTATACTCTACATATATGTATACTAATATACATATATGTAGTTACGTCGCTGTACTGTGCCAATTTTTATATTTCTACAGAGTAAATGCTTATTGCACTATTTAAAGCTGCATAAATTTAAGGCATATTATAATTTCATAAATGTACTGTGTACAGATACTGCCATTTTTTATCTACTACAGACATAATTAAGAAATAAGTTTGGTTTAATTGCGCTTATATATCATTATACATAACGTACTCTAACACAAAATGTACTTAAAAATTTGCATTGCAATCAAATATATACATATATTACCAAAATATATACTAGTATCTTATAAGTTTATATGAATATGCTGTAATGTTGTTAAGTAGACATATAAGAATATATGTTTAAATACATAAATAAAAACAATTATATATATATATATATATATATATAATTGTATATATATATATATATATATATATATATATATATATACGTATTATAATAGCATAGAAAATAAATTTAAGGTAAACTCAAGCAATTGAAACTTAATATAAATGTTATATTATGATATTTTAAAAGTTTGTAGGCCAAATATATTGTAAATATTTTAACTCATTAAGATGATCTCAATATGGAATAGAAGGATATCAAAGCTTTTGTTAGGTGATGCAAGTTAATGAAAGATTACAAGTATGTTGTAAAAAATATTAAATATCAATTTAACCGTGTTTTTTTTTTGTTTACTTATGCCTTGTAGTACTTTAGTTGACTCACTAGAGTTGTAAAATTATTATTTTTTTGTATTTATACCCGACTGCCAAAGAAGCGTTGTGTTTTTCGCACATATCTTGTATGTTTCTATGTATATGTGTTTGTAAACTTTATTACCTTACATCTTCCAAACGGCGTGATGGATTGCGACAGTTAAGGTATAGTTAGATTAATCTCAAAAACTTAAGTGTCTTTAGATAGGTGTTTTAAAAAAATCTAAATGGTCCTAGGCGCCAATTTATACTTCTTGGAAATTTTTCATCGGAATCAATTGGGAAGGGTATCAAAATACAGATTTTTAAGAGGCGATTATAAACATATATTCAACTTATATGTTTAAAAGTAATTAAAGATAACAAATTGTTAAATGAAACTAAAAATGTGTAACTGACCAAAACTAAAAAGCTGTAAATAAAAAAATAATTTACTAAATTAAAAAATAACCGACTGCGTAAAAAGCTAACTAAAAAGAAGAAAAATTGACAAAGGGACATAGTATTGTGCAGTCGGAGACATACACATTACCCATAAGCAGCTCTTATAAAACACTAGCAACTCACCCTCGCTTCGTTCGGGTTCGTCCCTAGGGTATGTATACAACTTCCCTATTTGAATCGGTAATTATTAAATTTTTCATTGGTTTTAAATTTTTTTCGCGGGGACCCTATTTTTTCTAAGAAAAGTAGCCTAAATTACTCCTTATTACATCTATCTGCCAGTGAAAGTCCCGTCAAAATCGGCTTAGACATTTCAGAGATTAGCCGGAACAAACAGACAGACAGACAAAAATTGTGAACAATGTTGTTTTGGTATATGTATCGTGTATACTGTAAAAGCTGTTATTTTGACATTTCAAACAGACACTTCAATTTAATTTATCTGTATAGATTTTTTTTTTAGTAATGTTACCATCGTATAAATATAGACAAATATTGACATTAATATTTATACGATACTAACGTCACTCAATTGTTTTGCCTTCCCGGAACCTCTCCACTAGCACTTAAACTTTATGGTATGGTATTAAAGTTCAAATTGACTTTTAAGTATTATTACGAATCTTTTGTATGGGAGTATAGAAAAGTGTTGTTTTTAGACTTTTTCAGGCAATTTTTTAAATTTTTCTCTCCGTAAGAACCATCCTCGTACTTCAAAAAATATTCTAAGAAAAAGAATTAGCGAAATCGGTTCAGCTGCTTTCGAGATTTGCGCTTAGCAACACATTCAACGATTCATTTTTATATTAAAGAGACGATGTGCCTATTTTTTACTGTAGCATGTGATTTTGGTAAGGTTTTGGTATAAAGTTAAATAGCTCATTTAATTAATTATGAAAGTGCCACATAATGATTTCAGTTTGTTGTAATCTTTTAAACATATACATACGAGACAGTCGGAGACATACATACGAGTGTACATCTCGCGGCAAGGATGACATGTGTATGTCTCCGACTGCATAATACTATATTCCACCGCGAACTTGTTTTCATCTTTTTAGTTAGCTTTCATGCAGTCGGGTTTATCATTTTTATAATATATTTTTTATTTGGATAAGGTGTTGTCCATGAATCACAATTGACAGGATGTTTTTTAGTAAATTTTTACTTACTTCCGCCTACCCTTGTTGATACGTGGTGAGGTTTTAGACTAACACTCCCCCCGTTTTTCCCCTATCCAAAATCACGTCTATTTCTTTGGTATAGAGTATTTAAAAAAAACAGAATATTACTTTAAATACAGGTATAATCTTATTTAACTCTAGAAAATTATGCACTGTGATAAAAATGTCTAGACAGACGCAAAGTCGAAGAAGATTAAGGTTACAGTACTTGAAACAAATACTAGCTCTCCGCACATGCTCGCTATACCACTGCGGAGAAGGTAGGTCTGGAATAGAGCTTTCTGCACTGTCATCGGGCTCGACTTACTCTGTTATGACGTCATAGCCGTCGATAACCATATTTTTCCATACTTTTGCGAGAACTCCTCCCGCCTTCCGAATTCAACGAAAGAACGACGAACGACGAAGTTCAACGAAAAAATAAATACACGTGATACACCCCTCCTCCCTTGTGATGTTTCGTGACTTTTTCCGAAACATCACCTCATTTCGAACCTCACGTGATTAATGAACGATCCCTAAAATTCCATATGGGACTAAATTAAACTTCAATGAAACAGTAAGAATTGACTTTAAAGCGCTCATCGACCCCCGTTGTCAGGATTTCTTTAGCAGAGGCACCAATACTAGATTAGTACTTAACATTAAAAATATATTACGCGAAATATAAGCTAAGTCAGTCCGATTATCACCAGTGGAGATGAAGTCTTTTTCAAGTCAAACTCCAGAATGCCAAAAGTTCTAATAGGAGATATTTTATAAAATTTAAATTAATAAAACATAAGCATTTAAAAAAGACCACTTACTTTTTCAGTATTTAAAGAAGTTTTAGACCCGGGGTTCCATAGAATCCTGGGTAGAGATGAGTTTCAGTGACATCTCTCGTATTTTTAAACATTTACGTAGAGCTTTTACAAAATATCGTGGAACTTACGTAAGAACTCAATCAAATATTTATTACTAGGGTCGCTTTCTTGGTTTCATGAAAAGTCAGAAGATGTCGTCTCTTTGAAGCAAATTTTTATCATAATATTTTTCTATTGCTTCATGGTAATATTTTTTTTAAATATAACTTTTTTTTAATAGAAATTGTTTATCTCGATAGTAATACATAAAAAGCTCAGCTTAAAATATTAGCGCCATCTGTAGCGGGGTAAGTGTACTTTTGAACAAGCACTATTATAAACAAAGACATGTGAAAGTTTACAATAGAAACTATGAAGATAAACGCGAGACCTCTTCACTGTTACAAAATATAGTGCCATAAATAAAACTTTAAGTTATATTTGATCTTACTTATTCTGGTATTTTGAACAGATCGTAGATAAAACTTATTTTTAGTAAATCTAGAGCAGATAAAGAAAAGCTTTGAAATGAAGAATTAAGCTCTACCTTATCAATTATATCAAGTAAAATATTTTATTCCGAGTAATTCTTATATAAGGTACCAATTGCTATATATAGTCATTTATTTATTCTATTTGTATCATAATATACGTTACAAGAAATGATGTTACAATAAGAACTCTACAGACGCTTGTGTATACGTCATGCATATATAAAGTAAGCCTGAAATGACATAGGTTTATTCCACTATATTTATAAGTACACCTATTTTCATCGTCTTATTCAGGAGCCGATACAATACAAATGTAGGCGAGTATTAGAAGGGACTTTAAATAGGAGCTTGGTACGGTTGCTTTCATTCATCGACGAGGCGCAGACAGCGCGGGGCACGCGCGGGGGGCGGCTCCCAGATACCAGCTAGCCTCGTACCTCCGCGGTCGCGCTACAAGACATTCAGTGTTCTCTTTTAAACAATAATTACTTATGTTGGTGTATTAAAACCAATAAAATCATTTTATTGTGTACATCGTGTTGATCACTCTGTAAAGTTGTATGGTGTATTAGTTCAGTGGTTGTGCAGAGTGGGTGTGATGCGACATCGTGCAGTCGTTGTTAGTAATTGAAATACGGTAATTATATCATTTATACTATTTGAATAAACTAAACTTGGGTGTTTTATTAGCATTTATTTTATAATTATTATAAAACAATAGAGTTCCGTCTCAGAAACCAAAAAAAATTAGAATCATCGATGTAAATCAAATATTGATCTAAATTGCAAAAGCTTGTTAGGAGATTAAAATGAAGAAAGAGTGCCTTGTTTTTAAGATTTTGTCTTTAATGACGTGGTAAAAGAATTCATGGTCATACGAGTGGGCGGCAGGTTCAGTTTCAGGCGCTGAGCGCGGGTAGAGGTAGGGTCGCGGGCGGGCGTGGGCGCACTCGCGCAGCCCTCCCTGTATTGATCGCTCTTTCTTAGCTGCACGGTAAATATTGTCATAATAAACTTATTTTAGATATTCCATTATTTTGATTATATTCTTCCCAAGAAGCCTGGCTTGTATATGTAAATAAGTCGTCTGTGATCCGATTAAACTTAAGTTATCAGTGTTCCAATGGTCATTGAGGGTAAGTAACACATAAACTTTCATGTCAGTTGTGCTAAAAATAGCATTTATGTAAGCTCTTCAACTTTATAAAAATAATATCGATATTTGAATGCTAAGTACGATTCTATCGTTTGTAGATATATTAGTAATTGAAAGAATTATTATTATGTTTTAAATATGTAAAAAAGATTTTTTTGTTATTTGTACTAAATTTCTAAAACTATCATTCAATCTTTATATATATAATTCTTCTGTGAGTGTGTATGTCACTGAACTTCTCTCAAACGACTGGACCGATTTTGATGAAATTTTTTGTGTGTGTTCAAGGGGATCTGGGAATGGTTTAGATTCACAATTTGAATAATAGAAAATAATATATTAAAAAAAGTTTGAAATTTTCAAATTAAAGACGTGTAGGCAGGACAACGTCTGTCGGGTCCGCTAGTAATTAAATAAACCTATAAATATTTAATTATTTAAACGATAGCTAATTAAGTATATTATTTTATAGGTTTTTATTGCGCATATGCGATGAAACATCTCTTTACTTGAAGCTTTCCAAGTTTAGTAGTAACTGCATTTATCTGTTCTCTATTCATTTTCATTAAATAGTTCGATAGGTATTACGAATAACAATTATCTCGACCATAACAGTGGATTTTATTTAAAAAAAATTAGATACACAAGTATTGAAACTAAAATAAATTAATGTTTATTTCAATCACCCGAATGCTTAGCTCTTTTGTATTCTTTTGCATTAGCATATTGTAATGTAATTAGAAACAAAAATTCATAGATACTTTTGTAGCCCGTAGGAGTGGGTAGAAGGACGAGTAGGCCATGGTAAGGCGTAATGCGCGGCGCGGTGCGTGAATGGGTCGGGTTCAACAAGTAGCTACGTCCACGACGCGCATGCCTTAACATAATCCAATACAATTGCTAAAATTTTCAATATGGCTGCGTCTATTAAGAAAATTCATTTCAATTTGTAATCAAAAACTTGCACACGCAGATCGATGAAATTATAATTTATTTGCAGAAGCAACTTTGTAACAACATTTTTTGTATGACTTTTACAAACAATTAGTTGTAAACGAAAGAAACTTTGTTACAGATTTATTTTCGTCCTTTATCCATATTGAAATGTGTGCATTTGCAACGTTTTATTTCTGGTATATATACATACGTATATATGTATAGTAATTGCCCATTGTGTTGTGAAGGCGCGCTTATATGTATATAAATTATAATCCATAGTTTATAACTGATTTGATACAAAGCACGATCAGTTTCATAACTTACACTTATTTATCTATAAAATCTTACTACCATATAAATGGGGATGTTTGGATGAATGGATGTTTGATATTTTTTATCCCGAAAAAATGTACGGATCCCGTGGGACAGATTTGTTTTTGTTTTTCACTAGAGATGTAGTATTTATATAAGTATGTATTTATCCTTTCTGTAAATTAGTAAAACCAAGAACAAGAGAATTAGCTTTCATTAGCACAATCTAACCACCATCAAAGAAACAATGAGGTAACAATATGGTACATCCCATAATATTATTTTAGTTCCATTCAGCGGGGGAATGCAGCAAGCATTCTTGCCACAAGGCAATAGATATATACCTTCCTCTTCTAACTCTCTTCTTAAGTATAATTTAAGAAAAACTAATTGGTACTACTAACTGTTGATTGCATGTCGGACTTCCTTCTTGAATCTGTTGATAGTGAGAATCATTCTGTGAAAGTGAATCCTTTTTTGTTACGGACGGTTTATTTTAGCTACCATTTCTTCTGCAGATCTTCATATACCAAAGAAACACTCCACACGGAATCAATTGCCTTCCAATCCTTGGTGCAAAGTTTAGAAGATTTACTGTTAAAAAGAAAAAAATTGGTATCAATCAATCTTTGTGGATCCCTTGATCCTCGGGCGTCCTCCGTTTTAGTCTAAATAAATGTTAAGAGATTTCGTCAGTCTCCTAACTTTGTTCCTAGCCCTAACTTCAATAACTCCTCCGAAAGGCTTAATGACTTTGCTCACAAACTAGGGAAGGAATGGAGGAGTCGATTCGTTTACCCGCATGGTTCTCACTCTTATTTTTTACCACCTTCACATTTGATGAACTTGAGAGCTTTTTAAAGGATTTAAAAGATACAAGTCCAGGAGAGGATGGGTGGTCTCTCCTTCTCCAATACCAATAAAAATTGGTAGGCTGAACGACAGTCCCAAAAAGTATTTCTTAAAAATAAACGCTTAATTTAATTTACGTATTGTTTTCGAAATCTCTAGTCGTAATCCTTATCCTTAAACCGGGTAATTGTCCATCTAATCCAAAATCCAATATACCCATTGTCTTAGCAAAAATTACTGAAAGGGTTTTGAAAAATCGCGTTGATAATGGAAAGCAGAAATATCTTGACACCCTCTCACTTTGGCCTTAGAAAGGGACTGAGTATTTATTCTATATCTATTGACTAAGTGAGGCTGAGGTTTCAGCATTTTAACTACAGACATTCGACTAGCCCATGCACAAGAAGAGTTGTGATCGTTCGTGATCTTGCGTGAGATCTTTTTGGTGTTTTACTTGATATCACTTCTAATTATAATAATGTTCTTCTTCCGTTGCTTAGACAGAAAATACGTCATTTGAACATTCCATCGAGGTTAACACATTATATAAGCCATCACCAGTACCAGCAGAGTCAAAATTTTTCGACTTCCAAAAAGAGGAGGTTCTCAATTCGTCGGAAACTATTTTTTTATGTATGTTCACCGATTACTTAAAGACGCCTAAACCGATTTGGAAAATTTTTGTTTTGTTTGAAAGGGTATACTTCCCAGGTTATAAAAATCGGTCGAGCGGTTTTTAAAAAAATCAACAATAAATATAATTTTTAAACAAATTGTTTAACGAATATGTTATTAAAAACTTTCTTCTTCAAATTACCTGCTTATTACGTCTACACTAAAAATATAAAAATAAAAACTTAAAAAAGAAACAAACCGGCTTAATGACTTTGCTCACAAACTAGGGAAGGAATGGAGGAGTCGATTCGTTTACCCGCATGGTTCTCACTCTTATTTTTTACCACCTTCACATTTGATGAACTTGAGAGCTTTTTAAAGGATTTAAAAGATACAAGTCCAGGAGAGGATGGGTGGTCTCTCCTTCTCCAATACCAATAAAAATTGGTAGGCTGAACGACAGTCCCAAAAAGTATTTCTTAAAAATAAACGCTTAATTTAATTTACGTATTGTTTTCGAAATCTCTAGTCGTAATCCTTATCCTTAAACCGGGTAATTGTCCATCTAATCCAAAATCCAATATGCCCATTGTCTTAGCAAAAATTACTGAAAGGGTTTTGAAAAATCGCGTTGATAATGGAAAGCAGAAATATCTTGACACCCTCTCACTTTGGCCTTAGAAAGGGACTGAGTATTTATTCTATATCTATTGACTAAGTGAGGCTGAGGTTTCAGCATTTTAACTACAGACATTCGACTAGCCCATGCACAAGAAGAGTTGTGATCGTTCGTGATCTTGCGTGAGATCTTTTTGGTGTTTTACTTGATATCGCTTCTAATTATAATAATGTTCTTCTTCCGTTGCTTAGACAGAAAATACGTCATTTGAACATTCCATCGAGGTTAACACATTATATAAGCCATCACCAGTACCAGCAGAGTCAAAATTTTTCGACTTCCAAAAAGAGGAGGTTCTCAATTCGTCGGAAACTATTTTTTTATGTATGTTCACCGATTACTTAAAGACGCCTAAACCGATTTGGAAAATTTTTGTTTTGTTTGAAAGGGTATACTTCCCAGGTTATAAAAATCGGTCGAGCGGTTTTTTAAAAAAATCAACAATAAATATAATTTTTAAACAAATTGTTTAATCGAATATGTTATTGAAAACTTTCTTCCTTCAAATTACCTGCTTATTACGTCTATACTAAAAATATAAAAATAAAAACTTAAAAAAAACCAACTTCCAGACACTAAAATGTAAAAAATAACTAAACTGGGGTTTTCATTTAGAATCACCTTATCAGATATTTCGGAAGTCGGTGCCAGCGGACAATATTTTAACATATGAATATCTAATAGGTAAATATGTATTTTACGTATCAAAATATATTAGATTTCCTATGCGTCGGCTGGCACCGACTTCGAAAATATCTGATTAGGTATCTATTCTAAACGAAAACCCCAGTTTAGTCATTTTTTACATTTTAGTGCCTGGAAGTCGGTTTTTTTAAGTTTTTATTTTTATATTTTTATTCATATGTATTTTTCTCATATTATTTTCCAGTAGTTATTAGATTTTATTAATTTTCGTATACGTTCGTTTCTAGTCTTTTGTTTTAATAGTATTACTATAGTTTTAAATGTTCTTAGTGTTTTAAGTGTACTCATGCAGGGACAGTCCGACTTGTATAATTTAAGTTGAGAAGGCTAAGGCGGGAGGTACGCTACGCTTTTAAATTTAAGTTTGTTGTAAGGGATCCAGATAGTTTAAATATTGCAAGTGGTCCATAATAATGAAAAGGTTAGGAACCTAGTAACTAGCAGATTCAAGTAGAACTCCCATTTACGCAATTTTATACAAGGCGTGGGTTATGTTACACTTAACTGTCGACTAATAAAAACATACTCGTGGGCGTAGCCGCAGGTAGTAGCTATTTATATATGTGATGTGTACGTCAATCAATAGGATCGACAGAATATTGAAAATTAACTAGTTTGGTTGTAATGTTAATAATATTAATTATGTATATGTTTTCAGAATAGCGCACAGTGTGTGGCGTGGGCGAGCCATGCTGCAGCCTGTGAGGGTGATAACTCGCGCGTACCCCGCGCAGGTTACTTAATTGCAAACCTACTGCGCTCTGGCCGACACCATCAACATGCCGGCCGTGCTTGTCGCGTTTTTATACTCTGCATTAATCAGCATAGGCAGTAAGTTAAACAATGAATTTTATGTTTATTTATAATCAAATTAAATCCCATAAAAGAGTATTTCTATTTCACGCCATAAACTTATCATTTATTAAAGGTTCAAATCGTTGAACCATTTTTATTGTTACTCCGTTTGAGTGACATTTCATAAATAGAGGCACGACGCGTACTACCTAGTTCAATAAGTTTGATTATCAATTCGATCGAAAAATATATATTATCATGAATTAAACTCCACTTATAATAATTCATTACTCACTATTTATTTATAGCAATCCAAAAAATTAAGTGTTTTTTTTATTTTATTGAATGAACTTCCTGTTCGCATCAGTATTAACTCTTTAGTTTTCTAACACAGCCTTATTGTTTCTATAATTTTCTTATTAATTAATTATTGATCATTATTTAAAAACAATAGACTTTTATGCACATGTATGCATCTAAATTATCCATTTTGCTTCACTATATTGATATGACATCAATTTACTCCTGATTTATAAAAAGTGAAGACTTTAATTTATATTGAGGTTAATATTAAGGATACAATTGTAATTGTATGATCACACGATTTATCACTTACATCAGTCAATGGGGATGACATGGTGCCCGTTGGGACTCGGCTGGGCAACGGCACAGCTGATCCACCGGACACCCGCTCAGCTATCGGCAGAGTGCCACCTTACCAGCCACCAGCTATCGGTGTTCCGGGCTTGCAAGTACCTGGATTTCGACCTCACAGTCCCTATACAAGAGTAGACGCTTGGCATCGTAAGTGTTACTTTCGAAAGCAAAATAATACTCATATCGACATTATTAAAATTTATCTCTATATCTGGTTATTTGTGTAACTTTAGATACTCATAGAAATTTTTATTTGTGTTTTAATAGCTAATGGTCGCATACATGTCAACTCTAAAGGATCCTACGTTGTCGCCGATGACATTGAAGACGACGAAGATGATGGTGGATGTCATTTGCCATGTTCTAAGGAATTTTTCTCTTGTCAGGTACAATAATAAATGCACAACTGTTTGCGTCAATCTTTTACGGTTATTTATTAGTAAATTGTATATTTTACTATTTACCAGGCATCCTGCAAGTGCATACCAATGGAACAACGATGTGATAGTAAAGTTGACTGCGTAGACGCCGAAGACGAGGCAGGATGTACTCCGTCTTGTGACCAAAATGAAAACCGGACAATATGCCACACGACCAGTGTATGCATTGCATTAGCGTGGATATGTGATGGAGACAACGATTGTGGCGACTTCTCAGATGAAACTCATTGTGGTATAATATTTATCATTATTCATATGATATGGTAATTTTAAAATAGCTATAAGCTATTCTTTCATAATCATATTATTTAAAATATTTACAAATAGACCTAATGTTTATTTTAATTAAATTAAACAAATTAAGAATTACAAATATTAGGTCCTTACATATGAAATTGGCGTTTTGTCGAACTGGCCACTTTGATCTCAATTATCTGGCGTTTGGTTAGGTATTCCTAATTAAAACTTATTTTAAATGAAAGCTTGTGTATTTGTGTTTCGAATTTAGTATTCATTTGTTATCCCGCCATTTGATTTTTTGACATCATTCTGCTCATTATGGAATGAAAAGAATATATACTAAAATTAAAATATCCAATTATTTACGTATACGAGTTCCACATTGACCCCAGCGCTACAGAAACAGCTCGAAGGAAGATACTATAAACGAAAACAAGATACATTTTTGGTTCCTATGTTTTTGTTCTGGAAATTTTGACCTACAGAAGTGGACGGCCAGAGACAATTAAGAATTAAAAGTGATCATAAAAGCGAATCCATCGCAAACCACGTCAGAATTAGGCACAAGCTTCGGTGTGAGAGATAAACAATTTTAATTCACTTGAAACAAATTCAAAAAATGAAAAAGCTCGAAAAATGAGTACCACATGAATTGAATGAATCACGCCAACAAACACGCGTCAAGTGCTATGTTATATTACTCAACCGTCACTATAACGAGGGGATTTTGGATGGTATTGTTACTTGTGATGAAAAATGATCCTGTACGATAATCGGAAACGATCATCACAATGGTTGAACCCAGGAGAGCCGGCCAGATCCTACTCCGAGCGAAATTTTACTTAGAAAATGGTACTGGTAAGTATCTGGTGGACCAGTGCTGGTATCATCCACTAAAGATTTTTAAGATCTGGCTGGACAATTACAGCAGATCTGTATTGTCGAGAATTGCAAACCATGATTGAAAACTAGCCGTTAAACAACCGAAACTGGTCAATTGCTCTAGCTCACTGTTAGGACAACGCTAGATCACACACTGCACAACAGGTGGTCGCTAAATTGCTGCGATTGGGATATTTCCGACACCCATCATAGTTCATACTCCCTGGACCTTGCTCTAATAGATTACCACTTTTTCCGGAGTTTGGACAATTTCTTACAAGAAAAAGAATTCAATTCCGTGGAAGCAGTCAAAACCGCCTTCAGATAATTTATTGATTCTCCCTCCCACAATTTTTTCAGCAAAGGAATCAATGAACCACCTGTAAAATGGCGAAAGTGTGTAGATAGCAATGGTACGTACTTTGATTGATTAAATATATAATATCAATATTTTTTTCGTTTTATTTTTTCCATATAAAATGCCAATTTCATATGCAAGAACCTAATACGTAAGTTAAAAACTGTTTGAATTTTATATTTAGACTAATCAAAAAGTAAATAAAATTTACTTTAATCATGCTGTACAAACCACATGGATATATCTCTAAATATAATTTACTAATAAAAGTATATCAACAGGGGGTTCTAACTGTACGTCAGAGCAGTTTCAATGCGCCAATGGCTTGTGCATCCACAAGGAATGGCTTTGCGATGGTGACAACGACTGCCGCGACAACTCTGATGAATTGAACTGCACGAAGGGCAAGTAAGTAAATTTCATACAATATACCATTGGGGCTTTTTAGATTTTTATTTTTTTTTTAGAATTACTTATTTGAAATGATTGATTTGATTTTCGGGACAAGAAAATCTTATGAATTTTACGGATCGGAAATATTGATAGGTTATATTTAGAGTAATTTTATTCTTAAACAAGCAAAGGACTTTTACAGGTTTGATATGTATGAAATTTTGTCATTTACAGAAACTTTCACTCATTTTAAGACGACATTTTATATGATTGTTTTTAATTATCGTATGACATTATGTACGTAATCTATACTATAATAAAACAGTAGAGTTCGAACGTCTGTACATAGCAAAAAATGCTAAAAACCGAGTCAGGGGATGTAAAAAGACAAATAGAACAAATCCAGTTTTTTTTCAATTTTTTTGTTTCTCTGTCTGTTTGTCTGTTCGTACGGGCTAATCTCCGAAACTGTTATACCGATTTAAATGAAATTTTGCATGGTGCTACTTTATATCTCCGGTCAACATCTTAGTTACTTTTCATCCCAGAAAATTAAAGAGTTCCCGTGGGATAGTTAAAAAGCTATAGTATGTTATACAGCTTAGTACACAACAACTTATGCACCTAATTTAGTAAAATTTAACATACTGCTACCTTATATTGCCGGACAAACAACAGATTACTTTTCATCCCGGAAAAATGAACGGTTCCCGTGGGAACTAATAGATCTCTATTAGTGTTTTTCTAGAGGCGAACCCGAGCGAAGCGAGGGTGAGCCGCTAGTATCAAATGAAAGCAAAGGTTAGCAGGATAAAAATCAATACTTTGTATTATTTCATTATTGTATATTATATAGATGCATACCTATGCATATATAACCATAAGATCTTTGAAAACACGTTAAAAATCAATAATAATAAACACTTACGTCTAAACCAGTAATTACTCCCCTGTATTCTAAAAACATCGTTTAATTGGATAAACAAAGCATAAGCACTCGTTCAAATTGCATATAATAGCTCGCTCCCTTGCTTCCTCGAATTGAGTCCCCTCGTGACTAAGGCCGCGGCCCGCGACTCTTTTTGTTATTTAAATATTTGTGTATTATTTTTTTTTTAATTTATATTAAAATTTCTATACGTATATTGTGTATTAATCAATTGATAATGGTATGTGAAATAATATACAAATAGATACTTTGTAATTCTTTTAATTTATTTAAAATTTCACTCATTCAGGTCACACATACTATGCCCATTTTAGCATTAGTTGTCGCTGGATGTTATTATTTAACTTCAGATTGACAGTTGCTTCATATCGGCTACCTTGAAAAAGATGAAATTTTACGATATGAGGTTCAGAAATAGTAAGAAATAATAGAACCGATTTTAAGTTACAAAAAAGTGAGAATAATAGGGTTGTTTGGGCACCAGTTTTCATGGAGTCAGGGCTTAACAAATGTATTTATATATTTATGAATTTATCTCAATTAGATTATTATTCATAGAGAATCATAGAGAATTATTTTAGCTATAAACGATATAATTGTCCATTTACATATTTAACAGGATTGGTCATTTATGTTTACTAAGTAACTTTTTTAATGTGTTCAGTGTTGATTCTTTTGTTAGTAAGGCAACGAAATTCTAGTATATATAATAGAATTCTACTATCTGGAGAGTCAGTCTCGGCTTCATAATCATTATCATGTCGATGATACCAAATGATACCTAGGTACTATATTTATTTACGTAAGTTCGTATTCAGACTATTTTATGTAAATATCTAGAAAATGACATGTTTTATATAAAAAAATACCGCCTCGTAATCGTCTTCAGTACACGGTGGGCCAGAAAGACGTACGACTTTGAAAACCGCATTGTTTCCGAACTGCACGCGGGAGCGGGCCGCGGGCACGTGTAGCGGAGATACGATAGAGCGTTTGACTTGAGAGCAGCGTACGTTGTGTAAAGGCTTATTACAAAAATGGCGATTCGTGCACTGTCACGTAATTTACATGATGTAAAACAATGTCCTAGTGAAAGTCTGATAAGATCGGGATTCGGGGCTCAAAAAGTTCGAGGCTCAATCAGAGACCAGCGGGACGGCCAAGATTGAAATGATTAGAGGAAACTGTAAGCAAAGTTGCAGCATTCGAAAAGCGTGATCCCGGATTATCATCTCTGAAGCGATCGGCAGAGCTCGCTATATCGAGATCATTATTGCGGCGAATTTTAGTTAAAGATCTGAAATTGCATCGTTATAAACTTCAATTAGTGCAATAATTGAAGCCAAATGGACTACAATTTACGCCGTGTTTTTTCGGAAAAAAAAGTTGGAGCACTTTCAAAATTTTAACAATATTCTCTTTTCGAAGGAAGCGCATTTTCACGTGGGTATGTAAATAAACAAGATTGCCGTTATTGAGCCGCAGAAAATCCAAAACTAAAACATCAAACGCCTCTGCATTCGCTAAAAGATACAGGTGGGCGGCCATGTCAGCGCAAGGAATACTTGGCCTTTTTTTTAGGAAGAGCAAGGTCAACCTGTAACAGTAAATTCTGATCGTTACACAACAATGTTATGAGAGTTTTTCTTCCCATGACTGCACCAATTCGAAGCCTATAACAGGAGGTTAAAGGAAAAGAAATATAAGTATCTCGCGCCTAAGGAGATATTTCGTGGCCGCCCAGGAGCCCAAACCTTACTCGGTATTTTTTGGGGATACTCTGGGATATTTCAAGAGTGGCGTTTACGCTAATAAATCAAACACAATTGTCCAGCTCAAGTAAAACATATGCGAGGAAATGTCATCGACAAGTTAAATATAGTGAATGATAGGCCGTAAGAAAAAACGAGCGCTTGTTAGTTGTCCACGTGGCGTCGATACGAGTTATAGTTTATAGGAAACAAACATAAGTTGCGCAATTATTACAATAAGAATAATTCTGTAAAAATACGTATTTAGAAGGGTGATTTGAGTTTGGCAGGTAGTACATACTAAGAAAAGTTTTCAGATCTTTCGAACACCTAGTAAGAATAAATTATAATTATTGAAAAGTAGTCAAAACTATGAGTGGAAGCCAAAGTAAGTGACTAAGTAGTGACTCTTGAAGACCTTAAAGAGTCTTTAAAATGCATATTATACTTTAAGAAGGTCTGGTTAAAAGTTTGAGAATGCTCTGAAGAACATGTGAGTGAGGCGAAAGAGTTTTGTAAAGATTGAAACGCTTGGCTCTCTATTCTCTCTACCTATCACAAGGGTTATAGACTTTTCTAAATACAATGAAAAATCATTGCATTTAGAAAAAAAGAACAATGAATATGAATAAAGAGTATTATCAAAAGGTTTATCTTACTTTGGAAAGGCGCTAGGTATTTCCAGTTCAATAGATGATTCTACATAAATATGATTATTGTGATAGATCTAATTAATAAAAGATATATATATATATATATATATATATATATATATTATATATATATATATATCTATGATAATTATTTATTTTGTATAATTACATAATGTTCAAAACATGTTATAAGTATATTTACTACCTACTAAAGACGTCACAAGTAAAATTGTCCTTTTTAAAACAATTTAATTTGTGTGGTGCACAAGTTTTTATTGATAAAAAAATATAAAAATATAATGAAAATGGGGAGAGATGAGTCTTGCTTCATTTAACTAGGCAAGTTGTTTAAATGGAAAACGTGTTAACTCTTGTTAAAAAAATTATCAAAATTAATTTTGCGTAATTTGAATCTATCATAGATTTCAAAACTAATATAGTTTTATAATAAATACCAGTAGGTATATTATAAAAAAAAAGAAATGCAAATTTTAGTGAAGCTTGACTGACTTTTTGTAGTGTCACTAGCTCGGTTCTAGTGCTGCCAGAGAGATCAATAAGCGGTGTGGGAAGGAATGAGCGGGGAAGTACCGGCGCACGCTGGCAAGGGGGTTGCGCTGGGACGGGGCGGGAGGAGGGGGAGACCTGCTACCATGGTAACACTCCCACGCGCAAGCTTGTCCCGTGAAGGAGACCCGATATATCTAACTTTCGTGGGCGACTCTTTGCAACCAAAACATTTTATATACTAATATCTTAATTCGATTAGCTCCAGCGATACAGTTCGGAACTTATCTGTTTACCAATTATAGAACAAAAATAGATCTGAGAATATAACCGTTTATAGAAATGTAGTACGTACCCATATTGCGCCGCTGCCTTTAACTAAATTAGCATCCAATATTTTTAAAATGAAATTGTCGTTTAAAACACAGCGAAATTATTACTGCTTTTATTAAAACTTCATATCTTTCACTTGACTTTTTTTTTATTTTATGTAAAAGAAGCATTTTATATTTAGATGCACTTATTTACAACAAATCAGAATTAAACTTATTCTTAAAATAAATCACAGTGATTTCAAATGAAAAAAAAAAAACACTTCCTTAAAACGTAACTTTAGATTTAGATAAAAATATATTATTTCCATGGCTACAACGCTCTCGTGTTAAAGTAAGAAAAAATGAGTCAAGTTATTAATTAATCATTATATATCAGATATATGGCGATCGTTCCAGTTAGCTCCACAGACAAATCGCGGTAAATTATACTGAGCGTTCACTTTGAAAACCGGCCATGGGGAGCGGGTTCAAATCTGGCCCTTGCACTTCTGAGATTTTCTTTTGTGAATTTATCACATTTTTAACAGGGATACTTACTAATATGGTGAAATAAAATATTCTCAGAAATGTACATGCCTGAGATAACCTAATTAAGTTTCAAAAGATGGGTAAGGCCCGCCGACCCTTTAGCCTTTGGTATTGGGGGCAGACTCATATCCGGCTGTGGGATATAAAAAAGACGGAATCATTATTAAATGCTGTACCAAACATTTATTGTGTTAATGTGTAATGGTAAAATTTATTTATACAGAATTTTATCCTATACCCTATAAAGTATTTTTACTCCTTTTCAAATTTATATTTAGTTACATATGTTTAGTAGAGTTTAAAACACCCGTGTCCAAATAAATATCTTTAATTGATTTAGATAAGGTTAAAACTTATGTATACTGTTTTTTTGCATAAATTGGCTAATAATTATTATAGTAGACTAATGCCCGACTTCACCAACATCCCATAAGCTACCACCTACGTATGAGATCCCTAGCTTAAAGATTCCCCTGAACTAGCCCCAAAATTAAATTTCGTTTTACCATCGTAGTAACCATGATTAGGTGGCATTTTAACATTTAGGTGACCCCTAACTGTCGGTAAAACAGAAACTGTCCCCTAAAACAGCCCCTGGTTAAGGGGATCCCTTAAACTTAAGTGACGTTGGTGAAATCGGCCATGAGAATGTGTTCATTTATATATTTCTTAGAATTTCTAGACAAGATGTCTCATATAGTTTTATTTTATTATTGGTAGATGCCGCGAAAACCAATTTACTTGTGCATCTGGTGAATGCCTCGCGCTTCATTGGCGATGTGACAAAGAAGCTGACTGCCCTGATAGTAGCGACGAAGCAGAATGCCGTAAGAAACATATATCTATTTATAATTAGGACATTAACACAGAATATGTCTATATATACACAAGTACGTATGATATTATATACTAACAATAAGTAAACCGCCATACTGATAACTGAATTATAGGTTTTAAATCACAGCGTATGTAGAAAAGTTTTAAAAGCTGCTTAATCTAACAAAAGTGTAAGTTTCTAGGCAACATTTTATTCTACAATCGTTGAATAATAGGAAAAAAAAAACTCAAATAATTTTTATGTGTCATATTTCCATTTTTTTAGAGATCTATTGTTCAACAATTAGATTTTGTTTAAGCTTTTATGTTAGTCGACTATTGAAATTAAGCTCTGAGCAAAAAATCTCTAATGACTGCGATTTCGAAATTACGAATCTCAAATATAATAGAAAAAAATCATCAAATTAATAATACAATTTTCTTAACAACAGCTTTGGATTTACTTGGATGTGGTGAAAACGAGATCCAATGTAACAACAAGAAATGTGTCCGCAAAGATTTTCAATGTGATGGCGACAACGACTGCGGTGATTGGACCGACGAAGATTCGTGTCCCATTGTACCTGGGAGTTGCACTTCTGCCGAGTTTAAGTATGTTAAATTACAGTACGTTATTATATAACTTAGTTGATCGTAACAATTCATATAAATATATATACTTTTAGTGGTAAGGCCGCCTTTGCACAAATTAAATGTATTTTTTTGTATGTATCATTTTTATTTTTGTGTGCAATAAAGTGTTTAAATAAATAATAAATATAAACCTTTATAAAAGCAGTGTAAAATAAAAATATTTTAGCTCGCTCAGACATTGAACATTCTCGCAAATATTTTAAGGAAGAATTTTGGTGTAGAATATTGTACAGTAAACAAAGAATATGGAGTATATACCATCCTACGATAGTGGATTTAAATTAGTTTATTAACCGACTTCCAAAATGAGGAGGTTCTCAATTAGTCAGAATCTTTTTTTTTATGTATGTTCACCGATTACTCGAAGACGCCTGAACCGATTTGGAAAATTTTTGTTTTTTTTGAAAGGGTATACTTCCCAGGTGGTCCCATATAAATTTAATCGAAATCGATCGAGCGGTTTTAAAAAAAATTAACAATCAATATATTTTTTAAACAAATTGTTTAATCGAATATGTTATTAAAAACTTTCTTCTTACAAATTACCTGCTTATTACGTCTACACTAAAAATATAAAAATAAAAAAGCGGACAATATTGTAAGATATGAATATCTAATAGGTAAATATGTATTTTACGTATCAAAATATATTAGATTTCCTATGCGTCGGCTAGCACCGACTTCGAAAATATCTGATTAGGTATCTATTCTAAATGAAAACCCCCGTTTAGTTATTTTTTACATTTTAGTGCCTGGAAGTCGGTTTTTTTTAATTTTACAGTAAGAGATGCATCAATGAAGATAAAAATGAAAATGTCTAAGTTTTGTAGATATTCTAGAAACTCTTTACTTATATTCAAAATGGAATAAAGAAAGTCATATCATCATAGTCTTGTAAAGGAGTTAATCAGGGATATGCCAGAGTTACTTCGGTTTTAAATAGCAAAAAATATTTTATTTCAGCTCGCGAGAAAATTGTAGAACATCTTACTGGTCTATTTGACCATATCTTAGTCGTATATGTAATTTTATTATTATTTATTAGTTTAATTATATTATTTATTAATATAAAATAAGTTTTAAAAATTTTATTTTAAGCAACTTTACACAATGTGTTTGTTTAACTATTTATAAAACCACAAATGATTATTTTAAATAAAAAAATTGATACAGATGTAGTGATGGCAAATGCATCCCGGATCGCTGGCATTGTGATTTACAACGGGATTGTGCGGACGGTGACGACGAGCTCAACTGCGAACCACATGGCATGCGCAACTGTACCTCAGACGAGTACACTTGTGCAGACAAACGCTGCATATCGGTATATTTTGTTTTCACATTTTTTTCTAGCAATTTTAATCTATTGAGTAATCGGCACATAAAGATTTTAGTGATAATTTTAAAAAGTAAGAGGTAAATTTGATAAAAAATTGCAGAAAACTTGGCTTTGTGATGGAGTACGTGATTGCACTAACGGTGAAGACGAAATGGACTGTCAAGTGTTTTGCGAAGTGGATCAGTACATGTGCAAGTCCGCTTTTAATGATGCTTTTAGAAGTTGCGTTAATAGGAAACATGTATGTGATGGCATGAAGGACTGCCCAAGGGAAGACGATGAAGAAAAATGTCCTATTAAAAGAAATTGTGGTCCAGAAGATAAATGCGAAAAACAATGCATTACTACTTATGATGGGTTACCGGGCTGTGCTTGTCCTTTAGGATTCTTATTAGCTCCCGATGGTTTAAGGTATTGTGATTTTTGATTATAATAAGATTTAATACTTTCTTAGATTTACGCGAATATTCGACATTTTAAATGAAACTATATTTTCAAAATTTTACGCGGATATTTTTTTAATTATTAATTCTCATTTTTGGAATTTGGTTGTGGGAAACAGAAATCAAAATTTAAAAAATCCACGAAAACATCCGAAAATATAGTTTTATTTATAATAAAAATTAATATACTTTTTAGTTTTCAATACAATTATCGACATTTCTATTCCCTGACATAAAATAGATTGATAGAATTTCTATTTCCTTAACTAAATGGTTTTAATGTTCATAGCTGCCACGACGTTGACGAGTGTATGTATGAACAAGATCCGGTATGCTCACAAACATGCTCCAACACTGTAGGAAGTTTCAGCTGTGGTTGTATGACTGGCTACGTACTTAGGCCTGACGGAAGATCTTGTAAAGCTACTGGAGAATCTCCAACGCTTCTGTTTACCAACAGAGTTGGAATACGCCAAGTAATTTTAAACTATAAACCAATTTTCTGTACTATAAATAATATATCAATGCTAATACTCTAATATTCTTTCTTTTAAGGTTTGGCTGACTGGAGACAATTACATGTCAATTTTAAAAGGCTTACATAATTCTGTAGCATTAGATTATCATTATGAAAAGAATTTGGTATTCTGGACTGAGAACAATATGAAAGTTATAAGAGTTGCACGATTGGACAGCAATAATATGTCAGGTAAATTATAGTTACTAAAGAAATCTTTTATTTTGAATATTGTATAATAGAACAGCAACATTTATTGAATAACTTTTTTAACTTATTATTTTAGATGTAATACGATGGAGTTTAGAAACGCCTGGAGGCGTGGCTGTAGACTGGATACACGATCTCCTATTTTGGACAGATTCTGGTACTAGGAGGGTTGAAGTGTCTACTTTGGATGGATCACAAAGAGCAGTTTTAGCTGCTAGTGATCTCGATAAGCCACGGGCTATTGCTGTCCATCCAGGAGACGCTATTGTATTTTGGACTGATTGGGGTGAATATGAACATCGATTTATAAACACTTTTGTTATTTATTTATTCATTATCATTACATTTTTTAGTATTAAAGATGTAAAACTTTAAGATAATATTATATTTTTAAGATTCAATATTGTTATAGGTCCCAATCCAAAAATAGAGCGCTCAGATATGGATGGAAGCAATCGCAAAAGCGTCATTGTTAGTGACATCTTTTGGCCCAATGGTCTAACTATTGATTATATGGATTCTAAGATATATTGGGCTGATGCTAAACATCATGTCATTGAAAGAGCAAGTTTTGACGGCCAAAAAAGAAAACGAGTAAGACATTCACAATATTACGACAAATTTTCTTGTTATATGTATTAACTTATTTTTACGTTGCTTTGATTTTGTTTTTATTTTGCAGATAACAAATAAAGGTTTACCGCATCCATTTGCTCTAACGCTTTTCGAAGATGCAATATATTGGACAGATTGGCATACTAAGAGCATTTCAACAGTTAATAAGGAGACTGGGATGGGCATACAAACTGTGCACGCTAGCCTGCATGTTCCTATGGATATTCGAAGGTAAGACATTTGTAAATCTATTTAAATTATTCGAATCTACATATTATTTGATAAATACAAAATTTTTTGTTTTCCTTATCTAGCTTTCATCCTTTGCGTCAGCTTCGCACGTATAAAAATCGATGTGGTTCTCACAACGGTGGTTGCTCTCATCTCTGTCTACCAAACTCTAGTGGATATTCTTGCCGGTGTCCTGTTGGCTTCAATTTAAATTCTGATGGGTGACTATTATTGATTTATGATATTGTAACTAATTTACACGTTACGTAAACCTATATTTTTTTAAAATTAAAATAATTAATATATCATGCACTAATTTGTTGTTGTTTTTATCAAAAAAATATTTGACATTTTTTCTACAGTCATTCTTGTGAAGAAACTCCAGAAAAATTGCTTCTTTATGCGCGACGTAAAGATATTAGACTCAAACAATTGGAACCCAGAAAGCAAATGGAATCCTTAGATATGGTAAATATACAATACATATTCATAACATATAGTATACTAGCGACTCACCTATGATGAGCTGTTGTGGATTGTATTTATAACCTGCGAACGAGATAATCTCCCGAAGGAAAAAGTAGCCTATCACTCTCCAGTCCTCCAACTAGACAGTTAGAAAAAAATTACGCCAATCTATTACTCTGTTTCGACGTTAAAGAAGGACAAACAGACAAACAAACACACTTTCACATTTGTAATATTAGTATGGATAGGTATACATTATACATATAGTATGGATTCAATTTTGAAGAAGAGTGCATTTCATCACTCCTTTTTTTGGATTCATGTCTGTCATAACAATGCGTGTGTGGCAATTTCTAATGACTGGTTTAAAAATCAGAATAAATAAAAGCAAAAATAATATAAATTGGCCATGCAAAAAGCTAACCACACGCGGCATAGTAGGCACGTGCTCTAATGATGATTCGTATTATGCGACTTTAGAAAATTGTTACAATATTTTTTGTACAGGTAATTCCTGTGGAAAACATCAAATCAGCTGTTGCACTCGATTGGGATCATAACACCAATTCAATATTTTGGACTGACGTGGAAAAGGATACAATAAATCGAGCATATTTAAATGGTTCACACCAAACTATTATTGTCGGATCTAATTTAAGTAAGATTTTTAGTAATTTCACTCTTGTTGAATGGGTATTCAAGTCAACCCATTAGTTATAAATTTTATTTGAATAATTTAATTTTTTTATAGTATCGCCAGCCGGATTAGCTTATGATTGGATAACAAACAAATTGTATTGGACTGATGCTGGCACTAATAGAATTGAGGTAGCTAATGCTGATGGTAGTATGAGAACTTTGCTTGCTTGGGAAAAAATCGACAAACCTAGAGATATTGTTTTAGATCCTGCAGGTAAAACAACTTCTTTAATAGTTATATATTTATTTATTACTTGCGGCTCACCCTCGTAAAAACAAATCTATCCTTCGGGAGCCGTATATCTTTCCGTGTTATGTGTTATTCCAGACTATAATCTATCGCTGTGCCAAATTTCATCCAGATCCGTTCAGCCACGCCAGAACGGCGTGAAAGAGTAACAAACATCCATACTCATAAACTTTCTTTATAATATTTATTCCTCTCTATATATTTACTTGTAAGTTGTAATATTTATTCAAAGGCTATTAAAAATAGAAAAACTTCGTAAGTACTGTATAATTTTATTGCATATGTCTATATATATTATACAGGTGGCATGATGTACTGGTCAGACTGGGGCGCAATACCTTGCATTGAACGTGCTGACATGGACGGAGGAAATCGTAAACAACTCATATTCGGAAATATGACTTGGCCAAATGGCTTGGCACTAGACTTGGGCAATAATCGCATTTACTGGACCGACGGTGGAAATCTTACTATTGAATATGCTAATCTTGATGGCACTGGACGAACTATATTAATAGGTAAATTCTATGTTAAGCTTCATACAGCTGTTTATTTTACATAATAGCTCGCAATGTATTGGTATTCATTTAAAATAAAATGCCAAATACTTACGCAATAAAGCAATATTTTTTTGTTTTTAGGTCAGCATTTACCTCATCCATTTGGGCTTGATTTATATGGAGATGAAGTTTTTTGGACAGATTGGGAAGCTCAGTCAATTCAGGCAGCAAATAAATACACGGGAAAAAATCGCAGAACGCTAGGTTCTGGAGTAGAGGGACTAATGGATGTTAGGGTTTTTCATAAAGAAAGACAAAGCCATTGGGACATGAATCGGTATATACAAATCATTATCTATTGCATTATATTTTATAGTATAAAGTGTAATAAGTATGTGTCATAATAATACTGATTTTTACAGATGCGGTAAAAATAATGGTGGATGCTCTCATTTGTGTCTTTTGAATCCTGGTGGAAAAAGTTGTGCTTGCCCTATAGGAATAAAATTAGGCGTATGTATTTATGTACACATCGAACCTCAATCGCATTGAATTTCCCATTCATTATGATAATTTGAAAACTGCTAGTTTCCGTATACTTGAACCTACCTACTTCCTTGAAATTTTAAGTGACTATATATCTCTACATTTTACTTATATGCACCTTCAAGTGAAAATACATGTTATTAAAATTTACATGTTCTTTACAGAGGGATAGAAAGAGGTGTACAAACGGCCCTATCAACTTTTTGATATTTGCACACCGTGTAGATATAAGAATAGTATCTTTAGATGTGCCATATCTTGTTGATGTTGTCCTTCCATTGCCACCATTGAAAAATGCTCTTGGCGTTGACGTAGATCAAAGAACTGGTAAGAAAATTTTATGAAGTTATTATCTACTAGCCACTCACCTTCGCTTCGCTTGGGTTCGTCCCTACGTTGATTCCCTATACAATACTTTCATCCCCATTTTCACCCCCTTAAGATGATTTTCGGGATAAAAAGTATCCTATGTCCTTCCCATTATCTCAAACTATCTTCTTACCAAATTTCATCTAAATCGGTTCAGTAAATCCAGATATTACCCCCTACAACGTCACAAACTCACAAATCACAAACTTTACCTCTTTATTATATTAGTATAGATATGAAAAAGTATGTATGGTACATACTTCTAGTTATGTCACTTTGGTTTCGTCTAGCTGTAAAGTAAAACGCATACACATTTTTTATAATTACCTTCTTAAGATATATGTTAAAACGACCATTTCGTGCAACGTACTTATTTACATATATCTATTGTATTAAATTCTATTAAATTTGTCAAAATATTTAAATTGTCCTGTATGAATCGGGCACTATCGGACGTTGATGGTAAAGTCAACTGGCATAATATAATAAAACAGCTCAGAAGGGTTTTCCAGGAAGACAAATATTTGGCAATTAACAATTATATTTCTCGCTTTTTCTGTATACTCATTTTACATTTATATTTTATATTCCTAACTCATATAATGCGAATCACCGACTGTCCACTTGACATATCAAACATCTATATTCAAAATCTACGAACTGGCACATAAAATAACTAAATGTTACAGTCGGCCATCCGTTACAATAACGAGTCCCTTCGTTTTAGGCCACACTATGTCAAAAAAAAAGTTTCACAATTCATTACAATTCACTCATCTTACATTAAAAAAAGGTTTGTTGAATCCTGCTACTCTCTATTTCTATCTGTAATATTTATGTGAAAACTATCTAATACGTAAACTATATTATTGTTTTTAAAGGAACTGATTTTTAACCAAAATTTGCCTGCAAGGTACCTAATTCTACGAATGTGGAGTGGAGGGTGATAAAGCTCACATTCCATCACATGAGTGGCAGTGGTTTTGATGTATCCACCGATTATTCTCAAACATTGGTTCTAAACTATATCCAACTTTTTAAGATGAGTTTTGCAACTATTAAGTTAAAAGAAATTTTTTAATTCTCAAAAAGGACAAAGTCACTTACATGAGAACAACGTAATTACATAAAGTAAAAATTATGCAAATAGTCGCCACATAAGTAGGTACTCAGTTAACGAGATATAGTTACAGATGTATGTATATTAAATGTTATTAAATTGGTTATTTTCCAAAATATATTGTGAGAGCTGAGATTTAACCCCGTTAATTGAGCTTACATTTTTTTAAAGTAGATAGTAATTTGTTATAGAGTTGTGATCCTTCAAATGTAATATCCTTCTTTGCATAATTTGTTGTAGTTTTTGGGAGAACTGGTATAGTCAATTTTACTACGAATTAATGAAATATATAGACGTCGCATGTGCACTGGATGAATACCCCAACTAGAACTGCCAAGATCTTTAAAACTTTTAAACATCTAGATAAATTAACCTTTCATTCATCTATATGCTTTTTCTATTTTAGTGACTTATCCAGCCAAACACCTAAATATTTAATACTATCAACTTTTTCCAAAGCAATGTTATTAATTTTTAAATTAATTATTTATTTTCTATAGTCAGACATGAAAACACAAATCTTTGTTTTGATGGCGATACAGTCAACCTTATATCGGATAAATGACTATTCAATTCATCTAGCGATCTCTGCATACGTATGGTCCCTAAGCTAAAGTTATCACAAGTTATTTATATCACAAAATCATCAGCATATTGGGATATTAATACATTTTTTTTAATCTTTTTTGCATAAATTCATAGTTGCTATATTGAACACTAAAGGTGATAAAGGATCGCCTTGGGCTAAGTTTTCCTAGAGACATAATACGAGTTATCGATTAAAATATTAAGATTTCTTTCCTTAAAAAAATTATGTACGTAGGTGCAAATATTAGATCCGACTCCCATTTCCTCCACGTTATGTAAAAGACCTCTAAGATTGTTATTATATGCATTATAGATGTCTATAAAGCGTACTATAGTGTACGTCTTCCTTAAAAGAAAACTTTCTCTATTGTCAATACTAAATCACTGAGATTATCAAGTGTAGATCGGAATTTTCTAGACCCATTTATCCGGTTTTAAAAAAATTCAAACTTTTCTATAAACCATTGTATTCGCTTCAATAGAATGTTATGAAAAGCTTTACAAACGGACAACATCATTGAAATAGGTCTTAGGGATGAACTAGAACCAACCCGACCAGGTTTCGGAATAGGAACAACTTTAATGTCTCTCTACTGTTTTGGTATAAATTCAAGATTCAGAAATTTATCGTATAGTAAAAGTAACACGTTTGGCATTATTTGGAAGGAACCTAAGAATAGAATATAAAATATTGTCACATCCAGGAGTAGTATCTTTTGAGCTAAATGACTTTTCAACTTCTGTTATTATACAATATCTATATATATAAAAGAAAGTCGTGTTAGTTACTTCGCTTATAACTCAAGAACGGCTGAACCGATTTAGCTGAAAATTGGCAGGGAGGTAGTTTAGAGCCAGGAGAAGGACATAGGATACTTTTTATCCCGTTCGACCGCGTTCCAATTTTTATGATATTTTAATTTTTGGATTTCTCTTAGTCCGGAATAGGTAATTATTAAAACATATAATTAAAATGTGAGAAAGAAATATTTTTTCTTTTTATATCTATTTAAAACGTACCTAGCGACGAACCCGAGCGACGCGAGGGTGAGCCGCTAGTTCAATCTAAGTTAATATGTATTTTATCGCCTTAATTCTATCTCAACACATCATTTTCTACTTTCAAATAAAATTTTCCGTAGATATTTTTAATATACTTTGGATTAATCCATATACATCTAACTAATAATCACACTATTTTGTATTTTTTTTTCATATTATTCAACTTAATACACAATTACCTCACAAATTGAAACATATTTTAGGATTTTGAATCCTTTCACTGAAAAAAAATCATATAAATTACAAAATAACGTAACCTTCAAATTGTCAGATGATCCGTGGGCGTTGCAAAAACAGTATATTTTTGCAGTAATCCCACTTCTGAGCTAAAACAGCTCAGAAGGGTTTTCCAGGAAGACAAATATTTGGCAATTAACAATTATATTTCTCGCTTTTTCTGTATACTCATTTTACATTTATATTTTATATTCCTAACTCATATAATGCGAATCACCGACTGTCCACTTGACATATCAAACATCTATATTCAAAATCTACGAACTGGCACATAAAATAACTAAATGTTACAATAATTAGTCTTGGAACACTTAATTTACGTAGGGATGAAATGTAATAAGAAATTAAATATAAAGTCGTATTAGAAAGAAACGAATAAAATTGCCTTATTTTATTTATCTTGATGATGAAAAGAGTTCTAAATTTAATCAAGATAAATGATTAATCAAGAGTCCAATACCAAATCTCTAGTATTTGTGTTTCTAATAATAGTTAATAAACTATATCAGAAATCAAGCTTGCACGCCACAAATTACCGTCGTTATATCACAGTCTGATAAATAATATGGAAATACAACAATAAAGCATATATATATATATATATATATATATATATATGCTTATATATATATATATATATATATCATTACACATTCTCAGGCTTAATCTATTGGACTGACACCGGAGAAAGAAAAATCAAACGAGCAAATAAAAATGGTGAACAAAACGAAACAATTATTGAAAGAGGACTTCACACTGCTGATGGAATTGCTATTGATTCTGCTGGAAGAAAGGTTCGATATACAATTTGATTTTTACATAACTTTTGTTATTATAAATAGCTAAATATTCACTATTTTTAATCAGATTTATTGGACTGATGGCGGAAGAAATAGCGTGGAAGTAGCCGATTTGAATGGCATGAATAGGAAAGTTCTAGTGTGGACTGGCTTAGGTAAGTCTTCTATAATATTAATAGAACCTAATCATTTTTAAACTATAAATTATTGTGTTTGAAATTTTCAATAATATTTTAGACTCGCCACGTGCTATTGCATTGCATTATGAATACGGATACATGTTTTGGTCTGATTGGGGAACATCAGCCAAGATTGAAAGGGCTGATATGGATGGTAAAAATAGGTAAGTTTGGATCAATTTATGTATTTATTTGTTTACAAAACGTAGTATTGTAATATATGCCCTTAAAACATTTTAATTGTAGGAGAGTAATAATAGAAAACCAGATAAAATGGCCAAATGGATTAGCCATTGATCGAATTGAAAGTCGGCTCTACTGGAACGACGCTAAGATCTTAACAATAGAGAGTTCAGATTTTAATGGACATGATCGCAAAACGCTTCTCAGTCAAGTCCCATATCCGTACGGCATAGTAATTGTTGGACCTCATATCTATTGGACTGATTGGAAAACTAAAGCTCTACATAGAGCGGACAAATCTAACGGAGAAGACCAAATAACTATACGCGAGAATCTTGAGGGGCTCATGGACATAAGAGCAATTCAGGTATAATCCTAAATTAATTATTTATGTAGAAAATAGTATATAATATACAATTACTTGGTTATACGGTTTCAAAAAAGAAAGTTTAATTATATTTTTATAAGAATAATAAAAAAAATATTATAATAAAGTTTTAAAATATACGTTAATTTTATGTAATTACACATTTTGCAAAGTTATAATCATTCCATTTACAGGGTGACCATATATTGGAAAATGCTTGTGGTACAAATAACGGTGGATGCTCTCATCTTTGTTTACGATCACCACAAGGCTATTCTTGTGCTTGTCCAACTGGACTTTTATTTGAAAATGAAACAGAACATAATCCAAGAATCTGTAAGAAACATCCGGATAACTTCCTAGTATTTGCTGCCAGAGGAAGCATGGCAATGATCTCTTTAGACACACCTGAACAATGGGATATAACACTCCCAGTAAAAGATATTCAAAATTCTGTGGCAGTAGATTTTCATTGGGAAAGGAAACTTATATTTTTTACTGATGTTAATAATAATGAAATAAGGTTCGTTACATACAATTTCTATTTCCACTTCTTTCTTTGTTCTAATTTTTATTTAAAGTATATTGTTATTTATTAATATTTTCAGGTCAATAAATATGGAAAATATGACAGAAACTAAAGTCATAATAAATACAGGACTAGATACACCAAATGGTTTAGGGGTGGATTGGATAGCTAATAATATTTACTGGACGGATAATGATTTTAAGGTATTATTATTATACATAAAAAGATAATAAAACCAGTCTTATTAAATAGATTAAAGCTTATAGAAATAAACATGGTTGTTGCAGGTAGTGGAAGTAGCTAAACTAGATGGGTCATCCAGAAAAACTTTGATCAGTGGATTAACTGAACCAAGAGCACTAGCGTTGTTTCCGGCAAAAGGGTATGTGACTAAAAAGGTGAAAATAAACTAAAAAAAAAAACATTAAAACATAAAAATTATAATAACGTATAACATTTCTAGATATCTGTATTGGAGCGATTGGAGTGAGAATCCTACTATTGAAAGAGCAGCCTTAGATGGTAGTCAAAGAAAAATTATTGTTAGCCACGATCTAGGGTTCCCTAATGGATTAACAATTGACTACAAAGATAGAAGGCTATATTGGACAGACGCTTTAAAAGAACGAATCGATACTTCAGATTTGAATGGGCAACATCGAGTTCAACTAGTTCCTGAAGCTAAAAATCCTTTCGGAATGACTCAGGTATATTATGTCCGTAAAAATATACACGAATTTCCCAAGAATTTCCCAAGAAGTGTGACATGCATAACATTAATACTAGGAGCAAACACAAACTTGTAATGCCTGTGACTCGTCTACACAGAGTCAGTAATTCATTTTATATAGTACATACTTATATGAACATGACTATTTATAATATTGTAATTATTTTTTTCAGTTTAATGAATTTATCTATTGGACAAATTGGAACAAAAAGTCGGTAATGAGAGCTGATAAAAGAACAGGCAAGAATGTAACAGCAATACGAACTGACTTGGAGATGGTTATGGAAATAAAGGCAGTGTCTTCCGATAAACAGCACGGCTGGAACCCTTGCAAGGAAGACAACGGTGGTTGTTCACATCTCTGCCTATTTAGAGGGCATGACTATATTTGCGCGTGCCCAGACGCGTTTGATATTAGAACTTGCTCAACAAGTAAGTTTATTTCTATCTCATTCTTGTTACGCAGATTTTTAAAATTTTTGTGATCCTACGAAGTTAGGTTTGTAAATCTTACTAAAGTAATATAGTTTCTGAAAAGTTTTTTTATTTTTTTAATTACTAAAAAAGCATTTAATTTCATATCTTCAGCCCCTAAACTTCGCGTGGACTTAAGAATGCCGTCCCATTATCCATCGTTTTATGACTACACGGATATGGAAATTAATCACAATCAAGTGCCGCCACCTACTGCTGCACCCAGTTCTAATTACGGGGCGGTCATCATCGGAGTGGCTATCACTGTGTTTATCTTGATTGTGCTCGCTGTTGTTGCACTAGTTTGGCGTAAGTGTTGTCATTTTTTCACTATTCTCACATATTAATATAAAGAGCATTTTAAGTGTTTTTGAAATCAGTGGAATTAAATCTATCTATGTATATCTATATAATTTTAATATTGATTTTTGTTGGTAATATAAAATATCGCTGTGACAATTTGCTCGATTATTTCTACCGTTAACGTGATATTAATTAAATATCAACAATAATCGACTGTAGCGAAAAAAAGGAATAAAATCGGTGCGTGAGACTCTTTTCAGTGTTTGCCCTTACCTTTTGAGCTTTCCTCAGATTGAACGAATTGTCACATAAAAAAAATTGTAAGGTTATTTAGTTGATAAGTTTAATACTCGTATTTTATCTTTAAAATATGTACTGACTAGGCCATTATTTACTCAAAGTAAAAATACGTCGAGAACATGGAGGTGAATTAAAAGAAAATTATCGAGAATCGACTGGCCATATATCCTTTCACAATCCCAACTACAACTGTGCGACAACTGGGGAACCTCTAGAGAGACGACAGAACCGATTCCAGGGGATATTCAAATACGACAAAAGTCAGGTAAGGCAAAATGCTCAGAGTAAATCTATTATTATTCTAATTAGTTGATATTAAAAATATTGAATTGTACAGTATTACAAATATTTTTTGGTATTATCTCTTTAAAACATCAGTACATATTCACTTCTAATCTTATATATTTTATATTATGTAAATAATTATTAGTAGTGACGTGATCCTTTTATCGTCAGGGACGGGTAACGAATGTATACATGCCGGAGGGTACCAGCTTGTTGCCCCCTCCACCTCCGCCCCCACACAGACTGCCCCCGAGACCGGCCAACGATGACTTCGAACCCGTTACCCTACATCCTTTCGCTTGAATGCTGATAAAAACATGATTATAAAAACTACAATAAGACTATTTATTAGAAAAAGTGATACATTCGTATGTGAAAATTTGCATAAAAATAAAAGAATGGACTGAGAAGTTATAAGAAATTGTCAATATATCAATTTGTTATAATAACTAACTTTTACTTAAAAAAGTGTCTAGGACTGTTTTTAAAATAAAAATTTATAATATTAATATTTTTATTTAAAGTATGAACGTATCACTTTTACTATTGATGGTCTTGGATAAGTGCTAGTAGCTAGTGGTAGCAGTCGCGATACCTATGTAGAGTAGATACAATATCTACTATTGTTAAGAATAATACATTGTTAGATGGCAGTTTCAGGCACTACACTATAAAATACTATTTATAGGTATACTAAGATGTACCAAAAGAGAGTTTATTTGCTTATTGTTACAAATATTATTAAACGTTTTATGTCATAATATGAAAAAGGATAAGCAAACCAAGCGTTTGTGTTTGGGTAATATTTTTGTACACAACATCCATTGAAACATTACCGATTTTTCTAAATCATTTTTGGTATTCCCCTTAGTATACTTACATTAAATACACTGATAGAAAATCTATTGAAAAAAATCGTTATGGAATTTTCATATTGTGGTAAATCAAATATAAAAATATCATAATTTTATTAACACCAGTAATCTTAATGATACTCATACAGAATAATTCAAGACTTTACGTAAAATACTTTTAAAGTCAATTTCAGGTAATAATTGAACATCATTTCTTGAAATATAATGTGGCATCGTTGTTTATATACTCGTATCTAAACGTAATAACGTTTGCGAATCTTAGTTTTTCATAAGATAGTCTGGGTATGTTATTGAGAAAGCTCAATAATATATAATAAAAAAATACATTTACACACTAATAGTATAGTAATAAAGTAATATCGCCAAATGTACATAGAATATAATATCGTAAAAATAATATTTGTGTGTCCAAATGTCTTAGAAACTTATGTATTTCTGTAATGAAAACGAAACAAAATTTTTATGTCGATTAGTAAAAAATAAACACCCCTCCTTCATATAAATATGTATATGTCAACAGCTTGAGTTCACATCCTTGAATCGAAATGAGGCGTATGTATGACGATGATTACCTAGTAACTTAATAAACAATTTATCAACATAAAAAAAATTATTATAGGTGTGTAAGGAAATCTTTGTATTATTTTTGTATATGTCGCCATCAATCGCTTCCCTCTGGCTCACGGGAAACGAGCGATGCCGACTGTTGTTAGATAATAACATTATAAACACTTAGATATAAGGGGTCGGGATATGGGGACTTATTTTTATATAAGATTCAAACAGAAATATGCGTAGTATCCCTGCCTCTTTACTTCAGTCAGTGGATGGTTGCTGTTCACATTTGTATAGGTTACAGCATATTTTGTTCTCTATGTTTTAGGTTAAAAAAGTTTCTCTTAGAATTAATTCACCAAAATAATATGGTGACAATAAAATATCAATGTAAATAATTAGTTCTAATCATGACTTTTTGTCTAACAGAAATTGTAAATATTTTATTTATTCACGCTAACGTGAATTTTATTTTGATTATAAAAGTATGAAATGGTGACCGGCTCGGTCGGCTGCCACAGCATGGACATCTCATATCAACACGATTCGTTTCTACTAGACTAATTAGATATTTAATTATTTGATGTTACTAAATGTCGAATTTGTGTTAAAGCTGGTATGAAAATCAGGTACGAGCTGAGACATGACGTGTGATATAGTTTTATGTTTATAAAAATTCTTTTTCTATATTGCAAAGAACTACAGCCGCCAAAAGTGGCGCTCATTTCACAGGGTGTTTTAATCTAAGATAGAGTTAGGACGGGTGTCAACGGGTACAGATCACAGATTAAGTATACACGAATTATTTTAAGGCACATAAAGAATTTATTTCAACAATATCGATATTTCAATATTTCCACAGATAATTTATGTATTGAAAATCATTTTATGTACCATAATTATTAATATAGCGAAGAAATTTTCGTATTATCGTAAAAAAAATCGATTTTTGTGTTAGCGCAAATAATCTACTATAGTTCCACTACATGTTTCTACTTAATATTATATATTTTTTGCGAGAATCTAATTCTCTCATATTTGTGCTAAGTCGGTTCTAAAGTTTACTTGGCTAGAGCGTACTAGAATGTATTAAATCTTCTATAATATATATTTTTCATCGTATCTACTGTTGGATCTTTCGTTATCGATTAAAAGTTTATAGATATCGATTATTTGACTAATGTGATGGCTTCAGAATTACTTTTCCTATTTAAGAATATATTCTGATGTAAATAATTCAAATGAATGAATATGCTGAAGTGAATCGATTACTTACAATGTGGATTTTTTTATACTATTTGTATTGAAAATCACATAAATTTTATATCTATTAGTTTTTAATTTAGAAGTGGTTGTTGAGATACTCCCAAAGGGTTCCTATTAACGATGCAATGTCTATATTTCGCAATTAAAAAATATGTAATTACTGATAATTTTAAGTATTTTTAATTTTATATCACACGAAGGCCAATGATTTAATTAATATTATATGGTAATATTTTTTAATAAATCAATCCCTTGTTAACAGGAGTTCTTAGGGCTGGCGAAGTAAAGAGGGTTGTCGTGTAAAGTTTTATATGAAATTTCATATTAGTTTTAAGTCAAATTTACTCACAATCGAGGAGTATTTACAACAGAAATAATGTTATGATACTAAAATGTAGATTTCTTTACATTTTACGTATCAATAATTAAACAAAGATATATAATATAATTGGCACTCTACGATAGCACAAATTAAAATGTTCTAAACAACACTTTTACAATTATTAGGTATCCTTTAAAGTCAAAGCTGCTGAATGTGTTTTATCATGGTACCGCCGCGCCGACGCGTGACTAAGACGTTTACAGATGGAAATACTCCTCGTGTTTTGGTTACGTAGTTTATAAGAGAAAGAACGTTGAGTGCTGTGATAAAGATGCTTTGAGGCTATTGAGTGGATAATAAGTGACAAATTTTAATTTTTCTTTGAAAGATCTGAGTGTACATCGGGTGCCTAAAAACGCACAGAGTTTTATTAGTGCAATATGTTCCATTTTATATTAAATATATTTCTAATTCAGAAATGCAGTGCCAAATTCAATTTATGCAATATTTTAATTTAGTTTAAGTTTAAATACGTTGTAATTAAGGGTAAGGTAAATAAACAGCTTTTACACCTTTAGCCTCCTTTAAGAGGTGTTAAAACTGTTGTCCGATTTATTATTGTACTGAAATTTAAAATAGAAATTATTCGAATAAATTCATGTTTTATTTTACATACACCAACTCCTTCCTCTTAGTTCAGTCCAAGTACTCTATTAGGTATAGTATTGGTATAATTTTTAACTTCATAGATTAATGTCTCAACAGAAAAGATGCTGTTCATTTGACTAGGTATAAAAACATGTAGACGAAGATAAATTTTTGACTCAAAATTTCGAAATCTGTACTTTAATAATAAACTATAATAGTACCTACTCGAAAGTGCAAAGACTAAATAGGATTGCGAAGTATGTTTTTGATATTTAAACAATAATAACATTGAAGCCTACATCTCTTGTATTCAGCCCCTTTTTAACGTACCGCTGGACACGGGCCTCCCTTCAATGTGAGGGAGATCATGTCATAGTCCACCACGTTGGACAAGTCCGGGCTGGCGACTTCACATATCTATCAAGAACTTGCTAGGTTTTCTTAGACATCCAGATTTCCTCACGATGTTCTACTTCACCGTTAGAAAAGTGGTAATCATGTTGAAAAAGATTCGCATATGAAAATATCAAAGGTGAGAGACCGGGATTTGAACCCGCTTCACTCGGTTTGCCATGCGAGCATGGTACCACTAAGCTACTACTGCCTTCAACCTCTTGCTAAATCGTAAACATCGTTTCGTTAGTAAAAGAGTATTTAATTATAATAATATCGCATCGAATATTGTGGTCACAAATTTATATCAAAATAGATATATACGAAAATTACATTAAAACTTTTGAGTAATAGTATAAAAGTTTTTTTAAAAGAAAACAAAATCGAAAGTCCATATTATAAGACTTCCGCGATAAACAATAACATTCCCAAGGAGGGTTGACGTCAGGCAGGCGGCCGGCCGTAAAACTTTTACCAGCACCTTTTAGCAGTACAGAAGATGTACTGCGCCGACCCCAACTGATTGGGAAATGGGCAGGGAGAAGAAGAATATCGAATCAATCGAAGTATTTTACTCTTAGTACGATTTCTTCCCGAGTCTAGCATAGAAAGGAAAGTGATTTAATAAAACACAGCATAAAACATATTCAGATTTTAATATAGTAGGTACATGCATACATATTTGATACAATTCAGTTTAGGGCAACAACTCACATAATCGACTCTCGACACCGGTTAGATCGATAAGGTATACTATTGGCAGATATTCGATTTCTTTAGCGGCTGGCTTTATCATCGGTGGATTTTAAATCATACTTTTATAGTAAGTCCAGTGTAGCCATAACGAAACATTGTATTGAATACCTAATTAAATATTATCCACAAACTAAACAGTAACGTAATTTAAACTTTTTTTTTCTCTTTATGGCTTAGAGCTGATTCGACAGACACAATTCATTCTGCCATTGTCACGTGTATTTGATATTTCGACTTACCGGCTAAGAGTAAGAATCTACTAAACGTCAATACAATATCTAACAGATTAAAACCTAATGATTAAAAAATCAAAATCGAATCAATATCGATTTCACCATATCGCCGTGACAATTATGCCAGCTGACGCCCTTATTATATTTTAGACCTAGTCAACGCTCAAAATATAGTATAACACTTATTATGTATTTTCAAAGACAAATTCCAAAATTACTTTTAATATTTAGTACCTACAATTTTATTTAGCAAAAGGTTAGATAGAAAATGAATACATTATTTTCTATATATTTACTAGATACTAGTTATTTAAATTGTGCAATAGAAAAGACAGTCGAATCGACTTATTATGTTACTAAAGGCAACTTCTCTTTGGTTGTTTATTTAAATTAGTGAGATTTACGAGTACTTATAACGTAAAATTTTTAAATCTGTACAGGTAAATAAAATTGATGTGTCTGTTTGTAATGTCAAAATAACATATTTTTACTTGAAATTACAAACGAGATTTATAGGAAAAACCCAATTTTTTAAATTTTTGTCTGTCCGTTTGTTCCGAATAATCTCCGAATCGGCTGGACTGATTTTGGCGGGACTTTCACTGACAGATGATGTTGTAAGGAGCAACTTAAGCTACTTTTAGTTCAGAAAAATAATTAGGTTTCCGCCCAAAAACGTACCTAGGGACGCACCCGAGCGAAGCCAGAGCTCTAGTTTTTAAATAAAATTAGTATCGTTAGTTATTAAATTAAAAAAAAATGTCAAGTACATTATACAATAAATAAAGTTGTCTGAAGTAACATGATATGGTCTAGAATTAAGACTTAATCATGCTGTAATATTGGTAATGAATATCATAATATAGTATAATAATTATATTATAATTGAAAATCATAATATAATTTTGGTAATGAAGTCAAATAATTAAAATATCTCACTAAATACATATAATCAACAATTTTTAGTTCAAGTTAGATCTCTAAAAAATAAGTACTTTAAAGTTCATGATTAGGCCTCTGATAATAAAGCTGGAGGTATTTGATGACTGGGTATTTAATCGATATGTTATACAATAATTAAAATCGATTCAATAATTAGAATTGATAGTTGAATAAACATCTCGGGATCGCGTATCGATATAACTTGTACAATTACGTTATATACTTTGGAATGTTTTATTTCCACAGTTAATACTATTTCATCATACATTATATTATTATTTTTATTATAAAAATAATAGACAGATCTCAGTTAGTTTTGATATTTTATATTTGAAGACAAATGCAGTCCTATAATAATTTTAAGTTTAGTTACCTAATTGTTTCCACAAGCCAACGCGCACAATAATTAATTAATATAATATACTACCTATTTGTTATCCAAAACTTTTCTCGACAATAAATTCAATTTTTAAGTATTCTACTAATGACTAATATAAGAATTTAAATTTTAATAAAACTTAATTCATTCCGTTAAAATTTCGAAACAACAGTATGAAATTAGATATAAATTTTAAAACTATCTTTTTGGCTTTTGAAATAATTTAATATGCAGTTTAGGAGTGATATTGACATCCATTTTAAGTAGTTATAGTAATCAATAATGAACTTGTAATAATTGATATATAAAAAATATCAATAGACTAGAATGTAAGAAAGTTACGGGAAAATCTTCAGATAAAAGTACTATGTAGAGTCAGATATTTAAATATGATTTAAAAAAAAAGTTTTTTTTTCCTTTTTTTTTAAATTCAAATTAAATGAATACAAGTAATAGGCATAGTACAATTATATTTTTAGTCTATGCATTTGCATTTCGCTTACGTAATACTTGAGCGAGCTTTAGGAGAAACTTGTTTTTTTTTTTAAATTGAAAAATATAAAATAATCTATTGTAAACAATACAGTGATAAACATTCACAAAAAATAAGTAAAATAAATAGAGGAAAAATACTTTTATGTATATGAACACTTCGTTAAAATTGTAAAATCTTATTAATATTGTTTTGCGCGGTCACCTATTTATAAAGACGTACAGTATAAACGAAATAAAAATATTTAATACAGAAACACCACATTCAGATGCCCATGGCAGAAAACTATATACTAACATCTATAAAAGATAACTGGATATAAAAAATAAAAATAATATAATTCATCGAGTCAAAATGCCATGTTACGAATATTAACTACTTACAAAAATCAATGAAATTTGTGTCCATGTCAAATTACATAAAGATTTATAAGAAATTGCATATTTTGGCTAAATAAATATGCTCAAAACATGTCAGGTACACAAAATGGCAGCTTCATACGTGATACGTACCGAAGCGGCGAAAATAAAAAGAAATGACTGGTGCAGATAAAGAATGGGAATATAAATGGCGTCGCGTCTATTCACCTCTTGCTTGCAAGCTACCGCCATCTGTATTGTACATTTTTCAATGTAATATAATGTTATTTATATATATTAATTTCTTTGACGATTTCTTAAATTAATAGTAAAAAAAAATAACGTGATACTCTGAAAAGTAACATCATACCCATTTATATGATTACATATTATTACCGAAATGAATTTATAATGTATATAGAGAAATAAATCATTATCGATTAAAAAGTAATATTCTGATACTACAAGCTCGATAAGCCGCCATTTCTAATCCAATTTTTTACTTGCACCTGTAGTAGAGAGCTTCTTGGCACACAGAGCTAAATTAGCTAAAACGTTCACAGAAACTATGCTAAGCATTAAGCTAACCTAATAGCCTGAAATATTGAGATCGACAGATGAAAATAATTTTCGTATGTTTCGTAGAGCAAAGCTGCAGTTTAATAACTATATCAAAGCTTTACTGAAAAAGTTCTTACCGACATAAAAATGTACAAACTTAAAACTCTGTCAGATGCGGCGTTTTTCTACGAAACTTACGTCACCTTATAATTTAAACATCAAAATAATTTTATAAAACGCTTAAGTAACTGATTTTAAATCAGCTTTAGAGTTAAGTAATTTATTTTCAAGCGAATATGAAAATAAATTTATATATATATATTCATTGTTTCGAACATCCCTGTACATATATTATCATGTTTCTTTTATACCCGTTTAAATAGTGCATACATACGTATATTTAATTATTGATAGCGCTTAAGTTCAGGGAACACTTCCAGGAGTACGAGTTCGAAGATCTCCTGTGAAAAGAAAGAAAAATCTTTATTTTACAAAGACCGTTTGTTTACATTAGCTTAGGTGTATGATTAGTAAAAATGTTTCGTAATTATAATACAATATTTTTATTGTCGCAACATATTCAGTCCTTTTTTAACACCCCAATGCTGGGTGCGACCCTTTCTTCAATACGAGGGAGATCAACAATAACTGACTTTACAGGTCCCATTACGATGTTTCCTTAACCGTAAGACAAGTGGTAATCATCTTGGAAATGAATCCCGGGATTTAAACCCGCTTCCATCAGTTTCTCAAGCGAGCGCGTTACCACTGGGCTACCACTACCCATTATCACAATACAAAGTTTAAAATACATAACGGTAACAATTCACCCAAACACCATGGTCATTAATTCTTATAAGCGTATAACTTTCTAAAAATCTTTCGAAACTTCTCAGAATTCGAATTTAAATTAAAAATGTTCAGTCATGCACCTCGAATTTGTCACTTTGCGTTAGGCAAGGATTGATTAAGTGGTTGTAGGAAGTGACACTTTTAGCGAAGCACATTTTAAGATCGCGCTCACTACATATGTACCTACTATTTTTAGACTGTGTGATATCAAGATATCGGTGCGACTGTAAATTTTGCGGAAGAATGCGTCGACCCTGAAAGCTACGAGTATCAACGTCTCACACACCATTTTATTTCATAGCTGGAAAGATGTTTTTTTCGTATTTATCGAGTAAATAATTTTGTGTAAAAAATAAATTATATTGTTTTTTAATTAACAAAGTTAAAATGTAATTTATTAAATAATATATAGTGTATAGAATATTCAGTAATGCCGATACTATTTAGTGCTGTGGTTTTCGAAAGGACAATTCTTAACAAGTACGCATCTTGTGATGGAAATTTCGAAGAGATACTGGAGTTAGTGCTAGCGAAAATTCCAGATAAAAATGCTAAAATGACTTATTTACACGGCCGTTATTTATTTCATTATATTATAGAAAATAAACAATTTTATTTTTGTGTTACTGATAAGGTTTGTATTTGTTTATATTATTTTATAACATTCAAATAATGATAATAATATTAAATATTTCTTAATTATTTAATTATTTAAAATAAATCTTGGATTTTTCGTTTCAAAAAATTTTAGCAACGTGAAAAGTGAGAAGTAAAAACAATATATAATTTATATAAGTCTCGATTTATATATAGAAGGTGATGTTGTTTTAAATCAAAATTAACTCCAGTAGTCTGCGTAGGGGTCGTGAAGATAGATATTTGGCTAAATTCCATAGTAATTTTAACAAATATATATTATATTCAGTAACTCTATTCAGAGAATACTTGAAAGGTACTTAGTTAAATATTATAACACTTTCTTAGATTTACGCGAATATTTGATATTTTAAATTAAACAATATTTTAGGATTATTTCGCGGACTTACCACAGGAGACCAAAATAAAATAGTCAATTAGAATTTAACGAAATATATATAATTTTTTCTATGCATTTTCCATTATACCTTTTATTATAATTTTGTTTTTTTTTTACTTGTTATTTAATACTCTATAGTAGCGAGACCATAATTAAAAAAACATATCGATAACACCATATAGATACAATTAAATTCTGATTTTTAATAAATACATTTTCAGCTTTGTCAAAGATCACGAGCATTTCTATTCCTCAATGAAATTAAACGAAGATTTTCAACAGTTAAGACCGACTTCACATCTGCTTTAGCGGAACAGATGTACCGTTACAATGAAGATTACAGCACTATAACGATAAGAAAAGGAGAAATAGATGAGTTGAACACGATCGGAGTAGATAGTAGTGGTGAGTATGGGGCATATTATGTGGATTATATGCAACACTCCTCGTATGATTGGGTGTAAAATCTCGATATCATAAACAAGACTTAATGATAAGCCTCAGACTAATCTATACATATAATAAAATTGTAACTAAGCCGAATCGGTACATTAAATTTTATTTGAAAAATCTTATTGAAATAGACATTATTATCGATACAGAGGCCAAATCTATAGTTTTTAGAATTTTTGTCGGTCTGTTACCGCATCACGGGAAAACCACTAGAGGGATTTTGATAAAATTTGGTATGATGGTAGCTGGTTATCCGGGTCAACATATAGGATACTTTTTACCGCGGGAAAATGTCTCATTTCTGAGAAAAAATACAAAAACTCCAATGTAAGAGTATACTAATATCACAGATCATATAATACTATACTAGTACTAATATGTAAAACATAAGTATTTGGTTTTTGGTCATCTGAACGCGGGCGAAGCCGCGGGCAAAGCTAGTACATTATAATGCATAATTATATAATTTTTTAATACAAAAACTTGAATAAACCGTAAGAACCTATATATATTATAAAAATTTCAACAAAAATCATATTATGATTACTCAAGCAGAAGAAATATCCTTAGAAACAATATGCTATAGATTATGTTCTAGATGTGTTTCTAAAGATGCGACGTGACGTACTTTAAATAATATTTATACTACATTGGTACACAAAATTACATTTCAGAAAGCATACTTGGCGAAAAAATACTGATCGTGAGCAATGATGAGAATTTAAAATATTCGGTGAGTTAAACCATAGTTTAGTTGGTTTATATTTAAATTTAATTACGTCTAAACGACTGATACAGAGTAAAAAAATAGAAGTATTTATTCCACTTTCTTTTTCTTTTCGCTTTTCTAAAAAAATTTTTTTTGGGACCATAACTGTGGTTTATATTCATTAAAAATATAATTATGAAAATCAGTTTACAATAAGCGAAGATATCACGTAACATACACAAAAAGCGCAGACATTCGAGTTCAGTATTGTGTCCTTTTTCGAAGTCGGTAAAAATCGTAAAGAATAAAATAGAATAGAATCCATATACTATTTATATATATATATATATATATATATATATATATATATATATATATATATATATATATATATATATATATGTATATATAATGGTACTAAAACTAAAACAATTTGATTTCAGACTGTTTCCTTCGTCGAGAAAACACCGAAACAAGTCGTTGTTTCCTTCAAACCTTCTACCGAAAGGAATCTCAATATTTTGGTGATATCTCTTGCAATCGTAGCTATTTGTTTAATGTTTTTATATAATCCTTTGTCATTAGCTATAATAGTTGTTGTTTTAATATACTTAATTAATAGAAGAACTAAGTAATAATTGTAGTGATTAGAAAATAATATATTACTTAAATTATATTTTTTTCTATACAACCAATATGTATGTAAAAATATGTAGAATTTCTTCAATACTAAAAAAAGCTCCAATGTTACTCGTTGGCATTCTCCAATGATGCGCAATTAAAGATACATAACGTCAGACAAACATTTTTAAAGTAAGTTAAATAGCTTCTTTACCCCCTAAACCTCAAATTTGTAAATTAAAATATTTTTTCAATATAACAACAGCAACAAAAATTTTACGCGATCTTATCCTTTTTTGCCTTTGGTAAAACTTCACGCATTCTTTCTCACTCTATAAGAAATGAAAAAGATGTTGCTTATTGTCCAAACAAAATTAACACATTAAAAATAAACACAAAGAATTTTAAATAGAGAACCTAATAAGTGTGCATAATATGCTGCTGCCATTAAACAAAATGCAAGACAATGGGGAAATCTTAGTAATAGCCCAGAGTTGGGAAGTTGGTGTTTTACCCCCGCGCCTCCGAGTATGTAAAGCCGTCGGTCCTGCGTCTGATCTCTCACCGATAGTGTCATCTCATCAATGTATGAGAGAGACAGGAATAGAGAGTGCACTTGCGTCTACACTAACGTACACTTAACATCTCCTGCTCACATGGCTAGTCTAATCGGGCCAAACTGAACACAATACTTATAAGAAGTGCTGTTTGTAGTGCGTAGTATCCTGCAGCGTGTGGAAGAGCGTGTGATAGTGTCATCTCATCAATGTATGAGAGAGACAGGAATAGAGAGTGCAGTTGTGTATATACAATTATATCTCACGCGCACTTGGCTAGACAAATCGGGGTCACATTGGGTCGAATAGGAAACCTGTCAGGGGAGGAGCGAGTGCTGTACTCACATAGAAGAGCTGCTTGTTGTGCGTGGTGTTCTGCAGCGTGTGGAAGAGCTTGTGCGCGCCGCGCGCGGCGGCGTGCGCGCCCACCAGCGACGACAGCGTGCCCGCCACGCTCTCGCTCAGCTGCGCGCGCGCCAGCGTGCGCGTGTGCTCTGCGCCACACACACACACACACAATATAATAATACTTCGATCAACAATATTACTAGATATCGGGTCGGTGTAAGAAATCCGTCTCGGTAAATATAACCTCACTTGCAAAGTGAGCGCATATTTCGATTAGTTCTATTGAAACACTGCCAACGTAAACACGTTCACGACGCCGCAATGTGTATTTAAAAGTTGCAAAAATAATGGGCGAAGAAGAAATTTTCCAGACGGAGTGTCTTATTTTTTAACCGACGAAATAATATAAAAACGAAATTTCGAACAATTTTAAATTCACTAAAAACGTTTGGCCCGAGTGGGCCAATACACGCGCAATTTCAAAGAAGCAAACGGAAACAAATCATCACGACTTAGCTCACAAGGGAACAACGAGAAAAAGTGCTTTAAGGTATTTTAATATAAGGTTTATTTTACCATAAAGATTATAACACTCACGAAATAATCGTAAGTGTATGATGATAATTTGAAGATTTGTGACTTTATTACAAGGTGCTATGCTATTCTTTGTATGTGACACGTTATCTAGTAGTATTGTTGATCGAACCAATAAAAGTACTTTATCATACTGATATCACAGTATAAAAAAATCATAAATTAATATTTTCTTAGATATACAATTTACGCGAATATGTGATATTTTAAATAAATAAAACTATCTTTTCGCGAATTTATTATGATATTTGGTTTTTACTACAGATGAAGGAAAAGAGAAAACGGACTGTAGATCCGGAGGTTTTGGTCGGGCCAAGTTTTATTACAGACTTTTTTTTTCAAAATGCTAAGTAACAAAATCATGGTCTTATACCTCATATATACCCTCATGCTCTTGATCTGCCTTTATGTCGAATTGTCGTCCCATCGGAGTTTGGGAGTGACGGGAATAAAGAGTGAAATGTGTCTGCGCGCATACTTAGCAAGTCTCACCGAGATTGATCGCCGTGATCGAAATGGGTCAGCAGACCATTATTATTATTACAAAACAAAACAAAACGAACAAACTACTCAAAGACAGTATAATTGAAGTCGCTATACTCAATCCGCGGCCCACGGGCCGCATGCGGCAGCATCAAAAGTCACATTATAACATATCTTTGTTAAAGAAGTAACTACATCGTTAACTTGGAATTATGTTTTCATTAAGACCTAAATAATTTTTGCTTGCGGCCCTCGACATCATGCCTGAAACGTGTTTGTGGCTCCTATAATACAAAGGTTCAGTATGGCTGAATTAAAATTACCCTTGTCCCTTATGTTCCGGTTGGAAGTGGTCTCGCTGAGCACGCCGCCGGGCCACCACGACTTCAGCACTATACTCGTGTAGTAGTGCAGCATTTGCTCTGAGAATAGCCACGATATCGTCTCTTTGATTTGCCTGCAACATTTGATGAAGATTAATATTTGAACGCTAGCTTTCTGTTTTTATATAATTAAATTTAATGTGGATTCACTATGTGCTTTCTTAGATTAACGCGAAAAAATGACTTTGCTAAACTTAATACTAAAAAATAGTTTATGTATAATTCACTATTTCCACGGGGTCTTAATGAGTAAAAAAAATAGTTAAAACAAATAATATTTTTTTAGATTTACGCGAATAATAAAACTATTTTTTGGGATAATTTCGCGGATTTATTTTGATTTTTGGTTCCCGGCGTTTCGAATGCTTTACAGCAATCATGGCCACGGGAGAGACTGAGGTTATAGACGTCTCAAACACATACTTATACATACTTGATAGACAGTGCCTAACCCACTATTTTACAAAAATGATTTCAAAAATTCAAAAATAGCAATAAGGTACCTTACAATATTTGTTGATTTTTATTTCTAAACATTTAAAAAAGTTTAATAAGTATTATAATTAAATAAAGCAATATTATTTATTTAATTTTAGCTGTTATTATTATAAATATTACAATTTTTAAATAAAACAAATGTCAATTATAGATAGCAGAAGAAAATAAATAAAAACAATATATTTTTATTTAAGAAAAATCGATTACTAGCTAACTCGACAATTATTGTACTGCTGAAATTTTAATAAATATGTTCAGTAATTTTAGAGTTCATATAAAAATCCTATAGAAAATAGCATTTTCAGTTTTCATAGTTGAACTTTGTTGATGGGTACCATGAAAGCTGAAGCGAAAAGCAGAAGTATCTGTTTGATAGTTTGATAGATAGATGTGATCGGCACAAAAGTGACAAACGTCCCAACAACGCGACTCGCGAGAAAAATATACATACATGTGTATATCAGTGACGGGCGAGTAGCTGTTGATGGGTACAAGAGGAACAGAAACGGAAGGAGTTATTTAGTTAAAGGTACCAGGAGAGCAGATGCGGGAAGAAGTAGTACCTGTTGATGGTCCGGCCGTACGTGATCTGCACGAAGGTGACGAGCGTGCGCCGCAGCCAGCGGAACACGCCGCGCATGTCGAACACCTCGCTGAGCAGCGCGTACAGCGGCTCCGCGATGCTGTCGCGCTCCTCCGCCAGGGGACCCGCCCCTGCACGGCATAATGTCACACTCATGACTCATGTTATGGTTTTCCAATTATAAGGTCAATTTTGGCCATTTTTGGCGTGATGCGCGCGACGGATACTAACCAACTCAGTAGCAGAAAATATAAGGTGTGTTTTTTCGGGTTGTTCGTGTTTGTGCGTCAAAGTGCGGCATTTTTTTTTATATGTCAGGACATTAACACACAACACAATCTAGTTCCATGGTAAGCTACGAGGCCTGTGTTATGGATACCAGATAGTTGATACATTATACATATATAACTTTTAAATACATACATATTATAAATATAAACACCCATGACCGGAGTACAAACATTCGTGCTCATCACACAAATGAATGCCCCCAGCGGAACTCGAACCCGCGACCGCTGGCGCAGGGTGTACTCATTGACCGACTTCACTAAAGGAAGGTAGGTACGTTTGCTTTTTGTTGCTTTATATTACGCACCAATTATATGTATATTTTCATCAACGATATGGGTCTAATATAGAAGTATATTTAACAAAAATCCACCCAACAATTTAAATGATTTACTTTTTCGTTTTATTTAAGTTTACCTGTTAATTTTATTTTAAAAATATTAAATTTGTAAATGTGAAATTTAGTCGAAATGGACTTCCTATGGATGGACCTATCTACCGCGAGAGCAGACTCGCAGGCAAGAATTAGTATTTTAAATCTAAGTAATTTCTTTATATTCCATGAAAATCAAACCTAAACCCGATCTGAATCATTAACTATTTTGATGTACATGGTAAAAAAAACTTACCACGCATAGAATTATTCGAATTCTTATTATACCCGTCACCGCCGTTTCCATCTAAGTATAGTGACATCTCATCTTCATCGGCGGATAAATGAGTGAAGCCTTCCTTCTCTTGAGACGATCTATTCGTCGCATCACTACTTGTGCTACAAGAAAAGTTATTTTAGATAGAGTCTAATGGCTTACATCGATTAACTCCTGCGGGTAAATTTCTAAGAAATTAATTGTTAACTGACACACCGGTGTACCCGCGCTGTTGGACGGATTATGTATATATCTTAATAACTTTTACTTTTTAATAAATTTCATCTTTTCCATCAAACCTTTTTCATAAAAATAAATTCGCGAAAACATCCGAAAAGATAGTTTTATTTAAAATGTCAAATTTTCGCGTAAATCTAAGAAAGTATTTTTATTTTTTATACTTTTTAAATTTAGTTGAAATTAATTTACTTCTTCATTTTCATAGTATACTTATGTAATATGTCCAATGTAAGTTCGTCCTTAACCTATCTGCTACTTGGATAAATATAACCAACGCTGTGTATGATCCATACACATATTTGTATATATAGATTTTATTAAATAATCTATAATTTAAATTAAAGAAATGTTAGGGAATAACAAAAAAATAATAAATAAAATGGGTTATACCTTTTAAATAATGTTGAAAAAGAAAATTTATTTTTCTTTGGCAGATCACCTTGTTTCAAGTATTCTGAGCTTGGATTTAGGAATGTATATACAGCTTCGCTTTGGTTTAATCTTTCATCTTCTAATACAAACTAGAAATAATAAAAAAATCATGCTTAATGATTTAAAATAAAAAAAAATCACTTTTATTGACTAAAAGTCCATATGTAATGGATATTTTACTATAAAAGTACATTATACTCACTTCTAAATATTTTTGTATTAACGTCTTCGCTTTATCCAATGAATTCTTATCATTCTTTCCGAATAAAAACTTAAAAGAATTTGATGGCAGTTCTAAATTTTTTAGTTCTGAACACATAGGCCTTAGTTTTCGATGAAGTTCCTAAAATCAAAAAATATAAAATAAAAATACATATTATAAAACCCAATTTGATAAAGTTTTAAATTTAACAAAGAATTTTGTACGTAATAGTAGGGGAGCCCAATCGACTATAAAGTTTATGATGATTTTTGCCTCTTAGGCTTGTGCAAATCGGCAGATTATTAAATTGGACACTTTTCAGGATGTGACTAGCCTACCACACCTTAATCTGACGGTTTCAAGTATTTCTACCTTATCAAAACATTTTTTAAATATTTTAATCGGCTTCCCTAGACGCGCGCCTTTATATAGAAGACTTATATTGTGGTGAAAGTACTTAATAGAGTGCAAGGTAACCTCTTTTATGTTAATCTGCCGCGCTCGAGTAACTACAGAAAATCCCCTCTTGGGCTCCCCTACTATAAACAGGATTTTTTTATAGTATAAAAGCGTATATTGTTAAATCTGTAACTTTAAAAAAGGCCGATTTTAATCATTATTTTACTAATAACTATATTATCCCAGAATGTACTAGTGTAGTGTATGTGTAAAGCCGAATAATCATGTTAATGTCGAACCAATCCAGAAACATAAAGCTTTCTAAACAGTTGCTTAAATGAAAATTTAATGTGATGATAATTCAGCCTCACTTGATATATCACTAGCGATTTAATATTTTAATGTTTAACATAGATTTCGCATAGATGAGATATTTTCCCTCAGCAAAAAGTATCCTATGTTGACCCGGATCCAGCTGAACTGACTATCATCATACCAAAATCAATATCTGTACTGTGGATTTCTCGTTATGCCTTCCCAGACAGACAGACAAAAATTCTAAAAACTATAGATACAGTCTCTGTATTGATAAAAATGAATATTTCAATAAGATTTTTCAAAAAATATTTAATGTACAGATTTGGCTTAGGTAGAATTTAATTATATGTATAGATTAAATAGGTGAAACGTATTAAAAATGGTATGCAAATACCTGAAATTCATTGAGCGTCCTGAGCAATACCCAACCTGTGGATATCTGTTCTGGTCTCTCTTCATTAGTGGGTTCCTGCTCCGCCATGTGGACGACTATCACAAATTGTGGTGGTTTCGATTCATCTGTGATCTGTAATAATTACACTTTAAAAAATTTTTTATCTTTTTAAATCCTAAATTACATATATATATATATATATATATATATATATATATATATATATATATATATATACATTTAAAAAGTGCGTGTGTGCAATTCACACATGGTAGAAGTGAAACTACAAAAAACTAACGTACGAGAGAATGAGATGAATATAGAGGATAATTATAAGGTTTATTTTTTTAATAATATTTTTACCACGTTTAAAAGTTATTTTACATTTTATTTGACATAAATATACATTACATATTATTCAGTAATTAATTTTATCATTTTTCACTTCCTGTGTAATCTCAAATAATTAAATGAGGCATAATAGGCATATTACAATCATATATTTATAGAATACTAGCGACTCACTCTCGCTTCGCTCGGATTCGTCCCTAGATTGCCTCCCCATACAAACTTTCATCCCCATTTTCATCCCCTTAAGGGATGATTTCCAGGATAAAAAGTATCCTATGTCCTTCGCAGGGTCTAGAACTATCTTCTTACCAAATTTCTTGTAAATTTCAGTAGATCCAGAGATTGCCTTACAACGTCACAAACTCACAAACTTTACCATTTTATAATATTAGTATAGATCACGGAAAGTATATATTATTTATATTTTTTAGACAGTAACAACTGTTACCATGGCAACATAGCAATGTTTCTATCTCATTATCTCGCCGGCATAATCCTATATATTTATGTGTTTGTCTCTTTCTCGTGTTGCATTTCCGTTTCATCGAGTTTCAAATCACAACGATTCTAAAGAAGCTTCACTTCAAAATTACACTTTAACATATCTTTAAAAGAGATTATTTCACATTCAGAGAATCATTTTTTAAAGTATGAATTGAGTACTTGTTTTTTTTTTCTAGTTACTCTAAACAATTTTTCCAGATTTTTTCAAGGGACTTTTTTTTGATTTTAGGTTCCGATGATGAGAGAGCGTCTGCCACGACAATGATTGTTGTAAAATATTCGTAACAAAACCAAAAAAAAAAACGTCAAAATAAATCCGCGAATATTTCAAAAAAGATAGTTTTAATTAAAATGACAAATATTAAATAATTTCGGATTGTTTCGCGGATTAATTTTGATTTTTGGTTCCCGACGTTTCGAATAAATAAATAAATCTTGGTCACGGGAGACTCTTCCAAAACGATAGTTTTATTTAAAATATTCTATTCCCGCTACCTCAGCGCTGTGCAGCGTGGCGCGCCACCGGCCGAGGTGCTCGGCCCAGGTGTCGGTGCGCGCGAGGTGCGCCTCCAGCCGCAGCTGCTCGCCCGCGAGGCGCTCCACCTCGTTGGCCAGCATCGCTAGCGCCGGCGACTCCGGCTTCAGGGACGCTCGGAGGGCTGCTAGGGCCTTGTGGATATGAAAAAAGGGCTTAAAGTTATTCAGGATTTTGGGTAGCTTTCAGGAGTGTTGTGTGCGCAAAATAGTACAACGCCATTTTACACTAGGGCAATAAGGTTCCGCTGATCTTTTCGCGTCTTTGTAGCTTTGCATGTACAACTAGCGACTCACCCTCGCTTCGCACGGGTCCATCCCTAGGTACATTTTTTTGAGCGGAACCTTAAATAATTCTTTTACTGAAATAAAAGTAGCCTAAGTTACTTCGTATAACATCAACTAAGTGCCAGTGAAAGTCCCGTCAAAATCGACCCAGCCGTTTCGGAGATTAGCTGGAACAAACAGACAGACAAAAATTTTAAAAATTATGTTTTTCTTATAAGTACCGTATATAATTTCATATGCATTTAGTAAAACGCTGTTATTTTGACATTACAAACAGACACTTCAATTTTATTAACTGTATAAATGTTACCTTTAATATTAAACCATAGTGATGGAAATAAAAATAAGAATGTTTTCTTATATCAGAATATGCCTTAAAAATATCAGTTTACACGATATTATTTCTTCCCTTTCACTTTTTTTTACTGTAATTTTCCATAATAACCCATCCCTTATCGTATATATGCGTAAATATTCCGTCTGTGCTGCTTTGTGAAGAAAAATAAAATAAATACATTAAAAAAATCATCAACCTCCATGTGTGTTTGTGAGTTAGTATGTACTTAAATGATCACTGAATATGTTTAATTTCGTCTAGCAACAATCCAATACAAATAGATGACTTTTAATGCAAGGGATGAACTTATTATGGGATGAATATCGAAATAAATAATTATGTACCCATATAAATTTTATCAACCCCTTTTACCCTTTTAAGGGAAGAATTTCGAAAAAAATCTAATACATATATTTCTTATTTTTCATCTTAAAGCTAAATACTACTTTTCGTGCATTTCGCGTTAAGAGTAACAGAGTTCCATACAATCTTTTATCCCCTATTTTACCCACTTAGGGGATGAATTTCGAAAAATCCTTTCTTAGCAGATACCTACATTGTATAAGAAATATGTCCTCCAAATTTCACGTTTCTACGACCAGCGGTTTAGGCTGTGCGTTGATCGATCAGTCAGTCAGTCAGGAGTAAGCATTTTATGTATATATAGATATGGACCAGATATTCATCAAAAATATATATAGAGAATAATAGATTAGATAATATAGAGAAAAATGGATAGAGAAAAATATATTAATACCTGTGTCTTATTGTTATGCCTCTCTTGCAACTGGTCGAGTTTTCGCCTCGCGTACGTCGAGTGCTCTGTGAGGTGAACGGTGCCAGCGCTGTCTGCTGTTGAGACCGAATCGTTTGATAACTGGCGGTCTTCTATTGGCGATCTTTCGGAACATAGCTCTGTGGAAATATTGTGTTTGTTTTAGTTGTGCAGATAAACAAAGGGATTATAAATGGCGTCGTATTTATTTATGTGTAACTCGCAAACTGTTGCCGTTTTCACCCACACCCGCCGGTATATTGAATAAAAAATAATAATCTTTATATTTAAATTTTATTTATTACACAATTTATTATACAATTAATTTTTTCAAATTGTTATATCAAGTCCATTTTTTCTACTCACGTAACACTCCAACCAAATGTTATAATAATACTTGTACACCGCTAACTATGTAAAAGTTATTGATACATATTTTCTTTTTAGTAATCGAAACATGTAATTAACTCACTTATGCCATTTAATGAACAGAAAAATATTGTATGACAAAATATTATATATAACTATTTAATTTATATACTGTGTTTTTCGCTTGTGTTGTCTTCTATACATATAATAAAATTGTAACTAAGCCGAATCTATACATTAAATATTTTTTGGAAAATCTTATTGAAATAAACATTATTATCGATACAAAGGCCGAATCTATTGTTTATAGAATTTTTGTCTGTCTGTCTGTTACCGCATCACAGAAAAACCACTCGACGGATTTTGATGAAATTTGGTATGGTGATAGCTGGTTATCTGGGTGAACATATAGGATACTTCTAACCGCGGGAAAATATCTTATTTCTGAGAAAAAATACAAAAACTGCAATGTAGTATACTAATATGTAAAACCTAAGAATTTGTTTTTTTTTTTCATCTGAACGCGGGTGGAGCCGCGGGCAATGCTAGTCTATACTATGACTTTTATCTGGTGATTAAATTTTTTTATTGAAGTGTAACTTCTTTAGGCATGCTATGATAGGGGAAACAAGTATTGGCGGTACGATCGGAAAGTTAGAAAAATCATCCGTTAGTAAGTATTATTTAAACTATTATATAAATATTTCAAAGAATAAATTAAATAAATATTTATAAAAAGTACTTCTTTAATTTATTTTTATATGAGTGACAGAATCATTCATATCAAATATATATTGTTAAAAAATTATTTACTTGATTTTTTTTTATAGATTATAAACAATTTCTTTTCACAAAAAGAATTGCATCCAGTATGCAGTATTATTATTTACTAGCATTGCCCGCGGCTCCACCCGCGTTCAGATGACCAAAAGCCAAATTCATAGGTTTTACATATTAATATACTTTGTTGATTACTAGTTTGATTGAAAATTAAATTTTATCACACAACACAATTTATTACATCATCTGTAGTAACTATGTGAATTTTTTTTAGTATCTCTCCTATCCCAATTATTTATAACATAAATTGAATTTCATAAAAACTACCGATAACCTACAGAAGTTTCACTACTTGCGTGTGTACAATAATTAAAATTATTATTTATAAATTATTAACTATATTTTATTTTTATTGTAATTATTATATTATTATTATTTCTTTTTTTTATTATTGTCGTAATATCCTGTCATATTACAATAATAGCCTTGAAAGAAAAATACTTATAAATAAAAGTTTTATATAAAAGATAATTAAAAATACCTTTATTAGCCTCTTCAGTAGCTAATTCGACAATTAAAGCTTTGTACTGGTCACTCAGTAGAAAAGAATGATAATATTTTTCTTGAATTGTATCCACTACTGTGTCTTGGACTTCATAAAATACCTCTGGTCCTTTATCGCCTAAAAGAAATGCTTCCATTCTTTTTCTTGTTTCCTGAAATAGATTTTTTTATAATATTAATTTTTTCAAGTATATTATAGAAGATAAAATATTTGTATTTATTATTGATAGTAGATACCTATACATAAAGGTTTATTCAACAATATATTTGTTACATTGTTAAAATTGCTTATTTTGGTTGAGACTTGATATCAGGCCAATATTCTTGTAAGTTTTTCTGTTAAAAATTTTTTTCTAGATTTAAATTATTATCGATTTTTTTCCTAAAGGAGCTTCTGCTATGTTTACTATTATTTTTTTCTAGCGGCTCATTTCGTATCTAGAAAGTTTTTAATGGTTTTAATTTAGTATGGAATATATAGACTGTATATTATATTACTTCTCTGCTTTCTTCCTATGTGTAGTAGCATGATTATATATAGCCTATAGTCTTCCTCAATAAACAGGCTATCTAATGCAAAAATATTTTTTTAAATCGGCTTAGTAGTTTCTGAGATTAGCGCGTTCAAACAAACAAACTCTGCCTCTTTATAATATTAGTATAGATGACTAACCTAACCTTACCTTGTCAACTTTAACTTCTGCACTCGGTGATCTTATATATGTATAGAATATTTCAGCACCCAATTGATGCCAGCTACTCCGTGGACTATGACGTAGTTCTTCCACTGCTGACCAAAAACCAACCAGTCCTTGTGAACACAGTGTTTCTAAAAACATTGATAGATACTTTCTACCTGTCACACTTTCCATTACTTTGTGTAGGGGCATTGCCTGAAAATAATAATAATATTTGTTGGTTATTTTTGTTTTACTCAATATATCATATTTAGAGAAAAAAACTGGCCAATTGCGAGCCTGACTCACACACTAAGGGTACTAAGGTAAATATGTTTATAATTAGAAAAAAAAATGTGATGTAACTACAAATGTACGGTTTTTAGATTTTTCCCTTTACTTGTGCTATATGATATTGCTTCTTGTCAAATTTCATGAGTTTAGGACAACGAGAATTACCCTATAGGTTTTGATTCCCTTGAGAGTGTCAAAATATGTGGTATACGAGGCCCTATCTTTTGACTATTTTGCATTAGAAGTTTGATATTTTTAGCGATCCAAGGAATTGCAGACCTGAGTATGTTACATTAATTTCCACTTGACACCTCCATGCGATCCTGAGAAAAATGTTTTTGAGTCACATACAAATAGACAACAAAGTGATCTTATAAGGGTTCCTTTTTTCTTTTGAGGTATGGAAGCCTTAAAAATGGTAAATATAAAGTTTAAATAATATATTCATGTAAGAAGTTCCAAATCCAAGCATAAATATTCCATACAGGATGTAGTAAAAATCCAGCAAGCTCATTGAGTTTGGTAATGTCCAAAACTTTATCTTTAAATTATATTGTATTGATATTTAAGAAAAATGTAATAACCTTGCTATCAGATTCCACGGCTGGGAAGGCACCATCCCAGCCTAACTTTCTTAATGCTTCTTCACATTCTTCCTTAGCTATAGTCAGTTGGTCAATGTATCTCTTCAACTTCTTAGCATCGGCCACTTGTTGTCTATTTGAGTTTGATTGATTGCCACTTTTCTCTATTAAATCAACATCTATTCCCTTAGCTCGTTTTACATTTTGGAGTGTTGTTGCTTGCATTATTTGTGTTACAATATCATATCTATAAAGAAATAAGATATCGAAATTAAAAATAATGTAGGTATCCAAAAATAACTGTTTTAATTTTATAGCTTAAAGAATTCAAGGTAGTAGGTTTGAATCCCATATATGGCAAAAGACTGATTTAATTTTACATAAGCTTATCTGGATGTTTCTAAAAGATAATGTTACTTTCAACTAATATTCTACCTATACAAATTATGTAAAGTAAATATTATTTTACATCTTATTTTCTTTAAAAGACTTCTTACTTTCAGTATGTGTATAATATTTATTTATTTTTAAATAAACAACTGCAGGGATAATGACAATCACTTTTTAACAGAACATTAAATGTTGAATTTCGCTTAATACATAATATTACACTATTGAGTCACTACAAGGAATTTCAAGCACTACTGATTCTATTATGAAACCTGAAAATGTAACACATTTACCGGAGTCGTTTTAACGTGTCCACATTGTTACAGTTATTTATGAGCCTGATATAGTCCTCAAAGGTTTTAGCATACTCATGAGTCTTTACATGCATTGCATCAACTTCCTTTTGTTCTTCAAGATATTGTATTATCTTTTGATTAATATAATCTGGTTCAGTCAACAGATCTATTGCTGGCTGTAAAACTTACAAAAACAAAACATGATGGAATATTAAAAAAACTGAATTAAAAAGTTAGTAATAATTTTAAAATATAATATAATATGCATTAGAATTTATTGTTTATGAAAATATTTCTTTACTATTTTTATTATATTGTTTTTTTTTCAGTGTCTTTACAGCATTCTATTATAAATGCTATCATTATTACCAATCAGCCTGGATTAAGAATAAAAAATCAAACATTCATTATGTTACAATAGAGGATGGTTTACTCTAGTTTTTTAATAATACTCACTTTTGCATGCCAAAATTTCTCTCACAAGGTGTGCAACAGGCACCAAAGAATAACAACGGGGCATGAGAAACATAATAATGAGTTCACTTATTTGTCTTAAGTAATGAAGTTCAGCATCACTGGATATTAAGTGGGGAGCCAGTGCAAATACAGGTGCTTGGTTCAATTCCAAACTGAAAGTAAATATTGTTATTAATATTATTTTTGTTATATTTTTAGCCTTTAATATTATATTAAATTATTTTTATATTAATAGATTATTATATTTCATACGTATAAGTGGTCAAAATGTGTTGAATTCTGGCCTTCTTTAAAAAACATTTAGTAACAAATATTAATAATAAATTAATAATAATTATGCACATAGGTTGAAACTTACGCACAACTTTTAGCAATTCTTATACGCTCAAAATGCTGTGTTATCTTTGTTACCATATCATTCGCCAATAATTTTTCAGCATCCACCTTTAAAAGCCTTTCATATAAACTCTGAACAGCACTCCATATATGTTCTTTAAATTTATCTATAACAGGTTCTGGTTTATAAGACAGTTCTTTTATCCATCGTGTTACAAAATCACGTAAAAAATAGTCAATTAATAATTGTAATTGGGTATCCACTGTTCTTCCGAATATAATAGGCAAGTGAGGCTTTTTGGACAGATATACTGAGTTGCTTTGATCTTCCTGTTAAAATAATTTAATATAATATTTATAGTTTTAAAAAGTACTTAATTAAAAGTATTATTGTATTAGTTACCCGTATTGCGGTATCTAACACTCGAACTTCCTTTTCAAGATTATCCAATAAAAATAACGAAGTATGATGTGGCGAAGACAGAGCTAAATGAGCCCACAATGTAAAAGCGAATACTCCAAATATGAGACACACACTAATAATTAATAAATAAGCTAAACTCCATATTAACGGAAAATAATATAAAATTGATAATGAAATTGGAATAAGAATGTAGACAATCCATTTCAACATGATTACAATATTTAATATTTCATACAAGAAAATATATAAATGGAATGTTTGAAATTGTCCGCGAATATATGCGATAAAATTTTACATTTTAATAATGTTTTATTATAATAGTTGTTTCCAATAGAAAGAATTTTAAAGCATTTTATTAATAGTAAATAACTTTTGCAAGTGGAATTTTATCCAGTATTGATATTTTGTTTTTTTTCTGGATTCTCTTAATGTGATCTGTCATTTTTGACACAACCAATGTAGACTAAATATAAAAAGTAATCATAATAGACTAAGGCCGGCCACATATGTACGGTTTCTGAACAGGATTCCTTATTCGGAATTTCGTAAGACTAGCGCAGACGTTCAATTTTTGGTATTAGGAATTGTACACTGCCAGTATGTAGAATGACGTAGGCTTGTTGAAAAAACATCGATATATTGATGTATCGATACAAAATATTCAATATCGAAAATCGTATCAAAAACGTTTTTTTTTTTCAAATTTTCATGATGATGTCAATTGTCTAGTCTCCTTAATCTGTGATTCTGTGCAATTGCCATTTGTCATCAAAGTCAAACTGTCATGCAATTGTCATCACTCTATCTTAATCATGGATGACCAATAAAAATCTTATTAACTGTAATATTATTACGAAGTGGAACAGATGAAGAGGAAATTGAAATACCAACTAAATTTTATTTAATTTTATATCTATCACTGTTCTTAATGACGCCTATATTCTTTTACTAGCATTACTGTGTAATATCGGTTCCTGAAGTGAATAGCTTCACTAATGTATGTATTATTTACTTTGTGCCGGTGTAAATTAAATAAAGTGTTCACAAAATAGCAAAAATAATATTTAACTTGAGTCAGAAAATATTTTAATATGTCTAACTTAAAAACTAGGTACTTAATTGTTGGTGGAGGTATAGCTGGTGTTACTTGCGTAGAAATCTTAGCGATTTTACATCCTCAAGAAAAACTTGTAATAATAACGGCATCTTCATTAGTGAAAAACGTCAGCAATGTGAGTTTCTATGCCAAAACTATAGTTAAGTTTGACGTACAGGACACTGAGGCAAGTTCATTACTAAAAATTCATCCTAACCTTGAAATTTTATACGATTCTATCAAACATTTAGATACAAAAAACAAAATAGCAGTTACTGAAGAGGGTGTTTCTATACAATATGATGTCATATGCATATGTACAGGAGGGATACCAAGACTCATTAAAGACTCAAATAAGAGTAGTAGAATTCTAGGAATTAGAGATACAGACTCTGTAAAGGAGTTCCAACAGAAATTAAAGACTGGTAAGAGAATGGTTATTGTTGGTAATGGAGGTATTGCATCTGAAATTGTTCATGCTACAAGAGGTATTCAAAAGGTATGGGTGATCAGGGATGATTATATATCATCTACATTTATTGATCCTGGAGCTGCTGAATTCTTTCAAGACAGCTTTAAAAATAAAAATGAAAATAAACAAGAAAATACTGTTTTAAGAAGACATATTTTTTCTGAAGAAGACACTGTTGTGTCTATTAATAAAAATTTAAAGTCTGCTGCTTTAGGTCCTGATTGGTTCCGTAAATTAGAAAACATAAAAAATGTAAGTGGGGAGCAAGAACTTGAAATTATATATAAGGTAGAAATAGATTCAGTAGTAGAGATTGACGATAGGGACTACCCTTTAGATGTGTATTTAACTAACGGAAGAACAATACAATGTGACTTTGTAATATCTGCTACTGGTGTTGAGCCTGCTGTAAATTTTACTTGGGATGAATGTCCAAAAAGAGCAGTAGATGGTGGTTTAGCTGTTAATGAAATGCAGGAAACATCAATTAGAGATGTTTTTGCAGCAGGGGATGTAGCTAGTGCTTGTTGGGATCATGCTCCCCACTGGTTTCAATTGAGACTCTGGACACAGGCACGCCAGATGGCTGGAATGGCAGCTAAAGCTATGCATGCCAGAATAACAAGCCAAGAAGTCTTACAAGATTTTTGCTTTGAATTATTTACACACTGCACTACTCTTTTTGGATTTAGAGTTGTATTGTTAGGTAAATATAATGGTCAAGGTTTAGGTAACAACTATGAAATATTATTGAGAACCACACCTAATCATGAATATATTAAATTCATACTTCAAAATGGAAGACTGCAAGGTGCTATTCTCATTGGAGAAACTGATTTAGAAGAAATGTGTGAAAATTTAATACTTGACCAAATAGACCTTACTCCTTTCGGAGATGATATACTAAATCCCGATATAGATATTGATGACTATTTTGATTAATTCAAAAATTTAAATTATATATCTATACATCTTTCAGATTGTTTACTATTTATATACTTGTTAATAAGTAATATTTATTTAATGTTTAATATATCTTGCTTATATGTATTTATTTAAAAAAAATTATATACAGAGTTGAAAAAATAAAAGTTGAGAGTGTACTAAGAACTTTTCACTTCCTTAAAGTCATCTCCATTATTCCTTAGTTATTTCTGGTTACAAAGGTACTATTGAAGCTTGCTTTATTATATGAACCGATTTTTTTATGGACCTAATCTACTAAAAACTATTTTTATTGATTTTTATTTCATTTTCAGTTTATTATACATATATTAATAAATCAACCACTTTCCATATATAGGTATCGGCGTTGTGGATCAAGATCCAGTATTTCTAATAAAACTAAACTATGTGTGTATGTTTGTTACTTCTCCACTCTGAAAAGGCATACATAGCATCTGTATAGTTTGTAGAAAGGCTTAAGTTTTTATATGTAGCAATATACTCTATGGTATTATTCGATGTCCATGTCTGATGTCACCGTCACCACGGAAGAGAAAAATAAAAACAAGGGAACTGTGCGTTATGACGATTTTTGTATCGGAATTTGTGTTGCCAAACTCACACAAATACTCCATTAATCGTACCTATGTACTATAAATGAAAAGCTAATCAAATATTGATGTTTTATTTTAGTCAAAACTAATATAATTATCAGTATCCCTTAATTAAAAAAAATATCTTTTTTCACTTTTAATTAGGTTTATTTCACTATATTACGGTATCTACTACCTAATAATTATATTTTGTACTTGCATTGCCCGCGGCTCAGCCCGCGTTCAGATGACCAAAAACCAAATTCTTTGGTTTTTTGTAATTTTCCTCAGAAATGAGACATTTTCCTGCGGTAAAATGTATCCTATATGGTGATTAGGTATGTATAGTAAAAGAAAACTACCAATCAGTTATTTTTTACTTTTTAGTGCTTTTGTTTGAAGTCGGTTTTTATTTTTTTGTTAAAAAGTTTTTATTTTTCCCTTTTTAGTGTAGACAGCAGTAGCAAAGTAAGAATTCTAACGTATTAGGCTTGTCAAATCAAACAAAACAAGCCCAAACTCAAAGTATCTACTATTAGCCGTTGAAGAGTTCCACCTATCCACCTTCTGGCCTTACCATCAGATCAGGTCAACAATACCGAACCACTGTAATATCAACGGAAATAGAAACACTTGCAAAGTTTCAAGTCAATATGACAATTAGAAGTAGGTTAAATTCATCATTAGCTATTTTTCCACCCTTAGGGGTGGTATTTTTTTTGAAATTTAAATGGGACCAATCTGGAAGTATACACTTTCAAACAACACAAAAATTGTTCAAATCGGTTAATAAATGACGGAGTTCTGAGGTAACAAACATAAAAAAAAACATACAGTCGAATTGAGGACCTCCTCCTTTTTGAAGTCGGTTGATAAAAATTATTACAACCTTTTGCTTTTATATGATGATTATATAATGATTATATCTTGTTATATCAGTTTAGAGTGCTTAAAAATTTAGTGATAATCCGAAGCAGTTACTATTTGTGCTTCCGTGGTTGTCATTAATGAACACACGTAGAATTTCTGTCTCTCAGTCAAAGTTAATTGTTACTACAAATGGCAACCCATACAACTTAGAAGTTATGTGTCAAATGTCAATTGCATATTTTAATCCGAAACCATAATACCTACCTAAATTGTGTCAGTTTTATAAGTTTTATTGTTCGTTTCATGGACGAATACTGGATTTGTTGGTTTCTGTGAATATTAAAGAGAGGAAAACTATTTGTATTTCATCTGATTTGTTGTTGTGACATTTTCTAAAAATAGCTGTCTGGTTTAATAATAAAAATAATAATCGTCTAATGTGATTTACCATTGTTTTTTTCATTGTTTTGTTCGAAGTCTATTATTGACGAATTTATTCAATATGCCTATTTTGTTTAGTGTTATTGCTCGTGGTACCGTAGTTTTGGCTAAATATGCCACATGCGCTGGTAATTTCACTGAAGTAACAGAACAAATACTATCTAAAATTCCACCCCATGATGACAAACTTACCTACTCTCATGGAAATTACTTGTTTCATTATATTGCGGAACAAAAATTAGTTTATTTTTGTATTACTGACGATGTAAGTATGCTCACAATATCATATTTGTTATACTGGACATATTATTCTATAAATTAATGTTTGACAATATTTTCTTCTAGAAATTTCAACGTTCGAGAGCATTCCTATTTTTAAATGAAATTAAAAGAAGATTCATTTCAGCATTTGGGGATACTGCCCAAACTGCTATTCCATATGCCATGAATAGTGAATTTGCTAGAGTTCTGGCTACTGAAATGAAACATTACAGTGAATCCAGAGACTTAGAAACTATATCAAGAGTTCATGGAGAGTTAGATGAGCTTAAAAATATAATGGTCAAAAATATTGGTTAGTACCTAGTTAATTTTACTGACTGTTATTACACTTTTTTAATTCTATTTTGAAAGTACCTTTTGGAACCCTATATTTAATTATTATCAATATACATACATTACAAAAAGATAACATAATTATAGTAAACAATTACTCATAATGATATTTCTGATAATATACTATATACGAAAGCTTCATAATAATGAGAATATTTAATGTTTTTTTTATATAATGTATTATTTGATGTAATATTTATATTTTAATGAAATAATTGAACTTTTATATATTATTATATATTATATTACTAAGTTTAAAACTCATAAATAATATATGTGTAACTGATTGCTTTCTGTACATGAAAGATATTTGTGAAAAACTATTATTGGGAGTCTTTATGAATGCAATGGAACCCAAAACAATGATTTTAGATTTTTTGTCTGTTTGTCTGTGCGTTTGTGTGCGCTAATCTTAAAAACAGCTAAATCAATTTTGGTGCGGTTTTCAATATTGTTTTGTGGTAGCTGTACTTAACATTTCGTATTTGTTTTATTTCAATTAGTTCATAAATAAAAAAGTTGTCTACTTAAAGAATCACTTAGGGGCCGACCCAAGTGAAGCAAGTTGAGTTACTAGTTTATGAATAAGATTAGTTATGTATATATAATGATTTTAAATATTCATACATTTTTGTTTCATGTCTTCTTTCTTCCAATGGCACAAATTGTAAATGCAATGTTACATTGCTGTATATTAATTGGCTTATATATAGTTGAATCATGCAAAATGAAAAAAACCTTGAATTACGAGAATTAACTGCTATTATTATATTTAAATAACAGGTGCAATTTTCACTGAGTATATTCTTAAGTTAAATTGCACAAATCCTGTATTTAATATAAATCTATAGATTTCAGTATTAAAGGTATTTGTTTATTTGTGTCTTCGTTTCCATAAATAATGAGGAAATATGTTTCTATATTATGTTTCTATTTTCCTGTCAATTTTTTAGAATTTTACCATATCATTAAAAGTATATATTATGTTTAAATCTCGCATTAGTTACTAATTAAATAGAAAAATAATTTGTCCATTATAAATAATGTTAATTAGTAATAGGCATAACATTAGATTAAAATAATTATGTTATCCCACATATATGATTTCAAATGTTATATATGCTTTTTTGATACTTTGATATATTATACTTTATTATTATTATTTATGTACCTAATCATCATGTCTTATACTTTAAATATGCGCTTAGAAAAAACAATGAGCAAATTGCTAAAGTTGTTTAAATATATTTTACAGACAGTATGGCAATGCGTGGTGAAAAGTTAGAGCTGCTTGTGGACAAGGCTGATAATTTGGCAACAAGTGTAAGTTAATTCCAGATTTTAATATTGAATTATAAATTAGAATGTTCATATTACCCTGTGCAATAATAACATTATTAGTATGACGATTAGAAATTTTACCATCTGCATATAGTAATATTTCTTTCTAATTTAAAATGTAAGACTTAATTATTTTTTCTTTAATATAATATTGTTTTTTGAGAGATGTATAAAAACACCTTCATATATTTAATTCAAATCTTTGTATATTTTGGAAAAGATATTAACTATTAAAATTTCTGTTAATAATCTGACAATACATTCTATCCACTTTGGAATATTATTTATCATAATATTTACTTGTTTATATAATTTGTTTGCATTTAAAGTTATAATATACATAAAATTGATTTCTTTGCAGTCTGTATCGTACCGCACATCAGCAAGGACACTCCAACGTTCGTTATTCTGGAAAAATATAAAAATGTATGTTATTTTGACTTTAATAATTGCATTTGCATTATATCTGATAGGTGCAATGGCATGTGGCGGCCTCGCTTGGAAGTCGTGTGTCGGATAAGCATATTGTTCCTATCGCATTTCACAATATTGTATCATATATCCAAACCTATTGATTAATTATAAGTTATCGTCCATTGGTCTGTTGGATGATGTATGTATATATTATATGTATTATATCAACTGATGGGGTCCTGTTAGTATGTAATTGTTTTCCAAAATTATATTTTTTGTCTTTACTACTGCTTATATGAAATTTTGTGTATTCTCTAATTTTTTATGTATAATATTTTATTAAAATTTATGAAATAAATTCATTTCTTCTATCTTCCTATGACATGAAATGAGAGACAGTATGGAATTAAGAAAAAATATTGTTTAAAATGCCAAATTTGTAACAAAATTAAGCTTTGGGTAATTTAAAGAATAATTTAAACATGTTATAAATATAAGTGATTGTTATTATTATTGATATTATTTGATCAATTTTACTAATAAAAACTAAAATGTAATTAATTAGTAACACAAAATTTTTACACACCCTTTTATTTTGTAATTGTTTTGTATGTCGTATTTTGGTTATAAAATAACTTATGTAATCCGCCATTAAAGATAAATCAGGATTTATATAGATTTACATAAAATATAATATCGAATTTACTTCTACTTCTTTCTATCTGGCATGAATTGATTAAAACTGGTGAACTTGACCTTTTTTATATTTGAACTATCTTCAATATCTTTAAAAGCAAATAAACAGTATTATGGCTTAAGGAAAATTCAGAGAATGTTTATTCTCTGATGTGACCAATTACGTGTTATTTTATATTTGATTGAAAATTATATATATTTTATAATACATATTAATATTTCCTTTGTAATCGATGATAACATTTACATGTCAAGTGTTAATATATTTTTTTTCAATACCGCTAACTTCGTCTCAGAATGTTATCTACAAAAATGGCTAACATTGCAAATTATTGAAAATAGCTTACTTATAACAGCTATTAGTATAATTATCATTTCTAACATATGATTGGTTATTCAAAACTGCTTGCTAATTAATCTATTTGAAAAGTGTTCTTGAGTTTCGTTAAAAGATTGAAATATTTTATCATTTATAATTAATAATAATCATTAAAATTAGATTTCCCATTATTTAAAGTTGTTTATTTAATGTTAAGACAATACATTTATGTTATGCTTACTGATACAAAAAATAAATAAAAATAAAAACTAAACATAGTAATGAATAGTGAAACTACCAAAATATTATGTAGAGTTTAATGCACTTTCTGATTAAGACAGGTGTATGTACACATGTGTTGCATCTTTAAAAAGGTGTTACCTGAAATAAAATTGCTTATAATGTGGATCAATGGAAAATATTATAATTTTTAGCACATTTATATTTAATAATATACTTACATGTAATTTTGTGTTTAATTGCAATCGAAATTATAAAAATAAAGCAATAATAACCCTATTTATATCGGGTTCTATCCAGATGTGTGTTTATTGATTTTAAGTTTATTTAACAAAGTACCAAAATGTACCAACTGTTTTTTTTTTGGTTTTGACGTTCAGAAGAGCAGAACTTGAAATGAATCAGTATAATATAAGTCAAGAAAAAAGTTAAAACATAAATGCTGCAATACTTATTAAAACCTACAACGAGTTCAGAAACTAATGCTTCAGCAAAGGAAAGCTGGAAATCTGTGAATAATTTTTATTTCAGACTCTTTAACCTTTAAATGTCCTGGGAGTTATTTCTTTGCAGCAAGATAGACCTTAAATCAACTTTAAATAATCATGTCGCCCATATCTTTGGTAAAGAAAGATGAAAGATATTGTTATTGTAAATATAACATATTGTAAATGTTGGTACACATTGGTGAGTAATTAAGTCTAATTATTTTTATATGTATGTACTATAGGATTGTGGACGATTTTGACCAGCAAGTAAATTGTTATGTTATTTTCGCTATATAATTACTTCGGCATAGTGAGATATCGGTAATCTTTATTAGGCACTGTTATAACTTGAGCAATATTTTTTATATCTAGAGTTTAATTTTAGCGGATTTATCCTGCATATATGTATTTTCATTTTTTTAGCTGTAGCAAAATGTAATGTAAAATTCGTTATATATAACATGAATAATAAACGCAAAAAAATATCAATAAAATATAATCATCTGTTGCTAATACTATTATACTCTATGATAGCAATCCTTTTCCAAGTAAAACTAAAAGTATAGGTATTTACATTTGAACTGTTTGATTTTATTATATTTTATCCATAATAAAGACTATTAAGTATTGTGATATCTTTATGTAGTGGTAAGAAATGATAAGTGTAATGATCATTTTGTTTATAACTATGAGAAACCATGTTATAAATTTGTAGAATATTGTACATACGTGTTTTATTTTCCGCACCCGAACAACCTCCCGAATTATCTGAATAAAGAAGTTGGTAATAAAAGTTGGGAAGTTTTATTCATTGGAAGGAAGTAGAAGCAATCTAAAAGTCACATCCCAACCGAAAAGTACGGAACATGGAATATATTTTTTATTTAGGGTTGTCCCTAAGTAACTTTTACGCATAAAAAAAACACATTTTTTTAAACATTAATTCTCATATACAAATAATTTAAGGAATTGACTTAAAATTATTTCTAATAATAATTTACTAATTACAAAAAACATGCTTTAACTATAATTTTATAAACGATTTATATGAGTAAGAAACATTGGAACTTATGTATTAAACATTAAATAGTGGATACAGAAATATGGACAAATGTATTACATATATAAAAGTTAAATAAAAATATAATATGTACCCTATTTGGGAGCGACAGATTGATCCCGAGGGTGGGACCCCTCCCTACCGATCCGCAGTACGCGGCAATCGCGCGCCGTCCTCTGCCGCGGGAGGGCGCTTTGCCGCGAGAGTGTACGATCGCCTCAACTGTGTGTGAGTTCCGTGTTTTTATTACGATGCGATGCGTGTCTTGAATCGGAATTTGTGTAAATGTTAACGTTTGTCCCTGGGGATTTTAATTTGTTTGGCCGTTCGCTAAATAAAATATTTTAACCATTGTTTCGCTTTTATCATTTATTTTTTTTATAATTATTTGTATATGTATCGATTGTTATCGATATTTTTTTAATTGGATGCGGGTTTTATTATTATAATTAGAATTGTATATTATCGAAACAAAATATAGAGGTCGTACATTCAAAATTTTCTATTAATATTATTAATGATTCCGCAGGATGGATTGACCGTAACAATGGGTGAGATAGATTGTATGCTATAAATATTTATTAGCGGTAGCCTTTAACGGAACCGCTTGATTTATGACGCTGCACATTAATTTGGCAGTGGTTTATGGGTTTAGAGATCATTCTGTACCTGCATACCGCCGCTATCGCTTCCTTGACCACAATTGCAATATTAATATTTTATAGAAATTTCATAATATTAATTGATTATTAATATATTTAACAACATAGGTACATTTCGTAGAATACAATTTTTTGTGCGCTTGTACGAGTGTACAAGCATGTGCGTGATCCGTGGCCGGTCGACTGTTAATGCGACAGGAAGCGGTGTCGATTTTAGGGAATAGTAAACTGGGAATGGCTCACGATACATTGTTTTACTTGGAAACGTTCTTTACGTATCACGAAGATAAATTACTATAGCTGTCTCTTTAATGGATGGATCCAATTTAGCTTTTTTACTTATTACATTTGCTTTAGGGGTTTAGATAATTTAATTTATATACACATTACATATTATGTACCTATATGGTAATATATTATAGAATCTATACATACCTTGTCCTACAATAAAATTCCTGGGAACAAACTAACATCAAAAAGAAACAAGCTTAATCCGGAACGATTTCAGATAAAGCTTTGAAGATGGGTTAGTCGTAACTCTAACAAAGACTTCGTCGAAAATGGAATACAAAGAAGTGAGGAAATGGACTTTGTAAATTAGAACTAGTGTTTTGTATGGAGGTGAAATAAACGAGAAAAATGGACGACAGTTCACCAGATCTGTCGTTAAAGCTACGACGGGGGTCGAGTGATTCGAGGGAGTCGTTTTATATGGACTTCGCTCAGGGCATCGACTCGGATATAGAAGAAGTGACGACTATTGAGAGGATAATACCTGAGCATCCGGGCGGGAGGGCAGAGGGCGATGCGGACACTTTAGCTACGCCTTCCGGTCTGGACGATAAGGATCTATCACAATGGTAAGATATTTGATAAATAACTTTTGTGGATATTATTGTTTTTACATCAGGGATTGTTTGATTGAGATTTGAGATGTCAAGTTCGCTTAGCGCTGTTGATTGATTGAGGTTTGGCAAAAACTGAAAGCAAATCGTGCTTTGTGACTACACACGTCGTAATTTAATTATAATGAAACTGCGATATTGGGAGCGGTTGCGGACGAACTCGTAAATATGTAAATTATAGTCACATGAGAGAACTGCATTTATTGGGAATTGTAAGTCTATAGTAGTAGCTATTGAGTGGAACTCTGTATAATACAATGTAATGTTATCATACGCAATATTTTACACAACAGGTACTATTTTTGGGATGAAATGATGAGTAACCCATCGTTAGATGAAACAGGTAAAATAGCAAGTCAGAATCTGCCTAAGTTCTACGAAGAATGGGATAGTGTAATTATTTTAATTAAAACAGAACCAAAGAAAAGATAACCGTATAATATAGATGTTAAAATAACGACACGAAGGAAAGCTTTTTAATTTTACAATAAATATAGGTACTCGTATACATCAAAGTCAGGGTTAACTCGGTGATTAGATGATTACTGGTTTGCATGAAGGTACGTATCATTAATTTGATTGGTCATCCATTATACGAGTTAATAGAAATTTAGGTGAAAGAGAGGCAGTTTGCGGCCTTGGTAGTTTTTCAAGTCTGAAAGTAAGCTCTTTGTTATCGGAATAAATATAGCGATAGTTTGCATACACGTTTAAGGTAATGATAACGTATGAACATATCAAAGTAAACAATGTTGTATCCAACAGAATCAATTTTGTCCAAAAACTGTATCATTGTAATACCTATATATAACATAGCCCATCGAATCGTAATAGTTTCCGAGATTAAAATTATGAGATTCAATCATTAAAGCCATTTATTTGTTTAATAAAAAATTATAAAAGGAGATATCTATACTAATATTATAAAGAGGTAAAGTTTGTGAGTTTGTGACGTTGTAAAGGGTAATCTCTGGATCTACTGAACCGATTTAGATGAAATTTGTTAAAAAGATAGTTTGAGATCCTGGTTAGGACATAGGATACTTTTTATTCCGGAATTCAGCCCTTAAACTAAGATTATATTAAGCCAGGGACGAACCCGAGCGAAGCGAGGGTGAGTCGCTAGTAAGATGATAAAAGTCCTTTGTTTATATTCTTCAAGACTTCAGTTTCGGAAAATTATTATAAATATGCATAATCACTATTATTAAATTATCAAAACACAACCATGGTTAATTTATAATATTGATAAACCAATATATAGAAAAGATTCAGAAAAGTCATAGATTTATATAGAATTAATTAATGGGTTTGAAACACTTTTCCTGGATTCCAAATTTCTATTTCGGTAACGATTGCCTACAACGTACCAGGCAGTTAGTACAAACACCATCTCCACCTACATTTCATTACAAACCAGTATGCCTGTTTTTACGCATAACTAGAACGTCATTTTACCTCCCAATAATCTTAAATTTGCTCAAAAGTTTTTCAGAAATCAAAATATTTTTTGTCGTTCTGAAAGGGTTATACATATATTACTGTAAAGGTTTTTATAGTCACCCTAGCTTGCAAAACGGTAAGCTCGAGTTCAACTCATAAGGTACAGGCAGCATGTGGAGCGTAAAATCCTGTTCAATGGAAGTAGAGTGGCGACGAGATGTACGCACGGTACCCGTTTGACGAGTCGCGTTGATCGGGGCTTTCTCTCGGGTCAGATAAGCCAACGGTCACTATATGGGTCGCTTAAATAATCCTTTCATAAGAATAAACGTTATGTCACCAAAAGGATTTATCTCGATAACCATAAAAAATATAGTCCAATTTTAATGGAGCTTTTTTATTGGATAGAGTCGAAGATACCTCGAGGTTAGTCAATTAATTTTAGTATTGAGGGTTAAATTTAAGTTTTTCAGCAGGTTAAACATACATACATACAATACATAATATGTGAGTATGTAGGTATATTGTATATATTATATAAGTACAATGTACATTGTAGTTGAAAAAGTATTCAATGTTTAGTCGATCAATTAATTAAGCACTTTTTTTAAATCATTAATTCTTTACATTATTTTTCATGAGAAGTGTGCTTATGGCTTAATAACTTAGTTTTTTTTATTTCATAGCTTATGTAGGCATCGTATGTTTTGCCTCAGCAGTAGTGACTCTTATTAATGCCAAGTTTCCGTTCGACTTTTGTACAAGTTTATACCAAGAAATAGCTCGACACCTACTTTTTATTCCACTAACATAATATTATTGATATAAAATAATTTAAATGAGTTTAATACGGTATTTGACATGATTGCATTTGCAATTAATAATAATTTATTCGTATAATCGTTATTTCAGGCCTAACGACGTCCCGCGAATTTTTTGATAAACTTTTTACGATACAATAATCTCCTATGGGAACTACTCGGTGTACCAGGATAGCAGCAATATTGCTCTCCCACCTATAAACGATCTCTATGCAAAAAGTCATGTCGATTCGCTGTTGCGTTGTAATATGAAAAAAAACAACCTTATTACTTTAGCTCGTGTAGTTCCTTATGTAACAATTGCCCCGCTTTTAAGGTTCATAGCGTGATTTTAGATAGTATGAAGCTTTCCTCAACAAATGAGTTATAAAGAGTAAAAATAATATATTAAACCCGACTGATAGTACAAATTAGTTACAAACAAAAAAATAAACTCTTTTTTTTCTGCGTATTGTTTTGTTTTACAAAAAGTATCAAAAATAAAAAAGAAACATATTTCAACAGGAATCTGAATGATTTTGCGGTTTTCCTATCAGCCTTCATGTTTGTTCACAATCTATAAGCCAAATTCTAAGAACGGCGGCACTTTAGTACCTACTCGTAGAACTATTTATTTGAGAGTAGGCATCAAATTGAAAAGTTTAACATTAATGACCACCCATCCGTTTCTGTATATCATTTTAAATAGCTTTTCGCTACATGTGCAGATTAATATGTAGTATTCTCTCTATCTATACTAATATTATAAAGAGGTAATGTTTGTGAGTTTGTAAGTTTGTGACGTTGTAGGGGGTAATCTCTGGATCTACTGAACCGATTTAGATGATATTTGGCAAGAAGATAGTTTGAGACTTTGGGAAGGACATAGGATACTTTTTAATTCCGGAAATCATCCAATCATCCCTTAAGGAGGTGAAAATGGGGATGAAAGTTTTTATGGGGAATCAAGCTAGGGACGAACCCGAGCAAAGCGAGAGTGAGTCGCTAGTTACCAATATTTTGTCGGATATATATTAATAATAATTATATATTGATATTCGTAACTTGTTGATTTTGTAATCTATAAAGCTTACTATCGTCTACTAGTCCGTTTGATTTTTACTAAACCTAAAGCTTATAGAAGGATTTGGGGTTTAACCTCATTATTAATTTATTAATATACATTTTCTTATTCGGGCGGTTGTTATATAAATAGACCAATGAAACTTAATCCAAAACAACATATGGGATGAAGCTGACCTAATCATAGCGAGAACAAATGAATCATTCCAACTGGCGAGATTAAGTACTTTTTGTTAAAATAACGTAAAAGCGCCGTGTCTTCAACTTTTTATACTAGCTTCATTTATGAAGAAATGAAAGGACTTTGGGAACTATTAAAAGGCGTGAATAGGATTTACGAGTAGAAATTTAATGTTATTTTAACGACAGCTCTATTCAGCAGAATAATTCTGTCATTATACTCGAATGATATGGAGTGCTTTTTATTACGGTTAGTGTTATTTTTGTTGCCTCGTTTTCCGTCCCAGGGTATTCCTTGGAGATATCACACTATTATATTGGGTTTGATCCTTTAAATAACATAGTAATGAGAAGATAAGCCTTAAGGATTATATTTAGTCTACTAAAACAAAATTTGCTTACAATTCTAATTTATCTATAGTTTTTTGTAATGAGCAAATACAACTATTGAAAAATCATTTATGTGTAACATATTATTATAATTATTCTTATACACAAGCAAATCTGTGGACTCAATCTTAATAAATATAACAGGTATGTTCTAAGTATACCTACAGGCTACAGTGTCATTAATATAAACAAATTAAAAGCTTCGAAACTATTTAGTATTCAACCTGCATTGTAGTGAGCCACGCACGTTTTCTCCGGAAATCTTACCATTTGTTTACTGGCAAGCATGACGCCGCTCGCACCTGATCTCGCGTGCTTCGAATATGGTCTATGGAATAAAGAATAACGATTTATTGAATGAAATAATAGAATATTAAGTTATGTAAGTGGTTAATTTATTTTTTTCTCATTTTTACCATTGAGGTTTTTAAGAATGTGTTATAAGTTTAACATTATATATATGACGATACGTTTGGCTTAGTTTGTAGTAACCCTACATGTTGTGCCAGCGGTCGCGGGTTCGAGTCCCGCTGGAGGCGTTCATTTGTGTGATGAGCACGCATGTTGGTACTTCAGTCATTGTTGTTTATATTTATATTTATAATATGTATGTATTTAAAGTTATATATGTGTATCAACTATCTGGTATCCATAACACAAGCCTCTTAGATTACCATGGAACTAGATTAGATTACCATGGAACTAGATGGTGCTGTGTGTTAATGTCGCAACAAATATATGTTTAAATTATTTACTATTCAAGATCTGTGTTAATTTAGTATAAAAATGTTGAGCTTATATACTGTAATTTGGTATAAAAATTATACGAACATTTGAAAATGGATTATTTTTATGTTGTAGGTGAATCAAAAGCATTATACTAAACTCTATTTGACATGAACCACCTGACACACCATTTTAATTTTACTATAGAATAGTTATTTTTATTCATGTAATAGTAGTTGAATCTACTAAGTATAACAAATAGCCGTAATGCTTTAATTGGGACCCCTCGTAAGTCAACAAAGGCCGCCTGATGAGGCGTTATGGAGCGTAAAGCTTTTTATACGAACAAGTTATAAATATCATTGGATTGTTTTGTTTTATAGGTACAGTCCAACTTCTGTGACTTTGTATAGTTTTATTTAAGGACTCCTTTCGGATTAATCTATACTATAATAAAACAGTAGAGGTCGAATGTCTGTACATAGCAAAAAAATGGTAAAAACCGAGTCAGGGGGATGTAAGAAGATAAATAGAACAAATCCAGATTTTTTAAATTTTTTTATTTCTCTGTCTGTTTGTCTGTTTGTACGGGCTAATCTCCGAATCTATTAGACCGCTAGTTTCATATAAATGATGTCCTTTAAAATAGAAAACAACATTTCATAATTTAAAATAGCATTACTTACTTTAAATTTTTTTGTTAGTAGTAGGTAGGTACGAGTTAACTACTAAAATTTGTTTTAATTGAACTTATACTATTAAATAACTTTGTACGAGACATAATTATATTTATTAATAAGGGTTAAA